GCAGCGGCATGTGTGCATGTGATTCTGACTCTACTGGTAACGTGCATATGCATTAGGTTTAATATATTATGCAAACTCATTCCAACGTTTAAATGTGAATTTTTCTGGAATTACTGGTCCTATCAACACAAAAACTGCAGTGACCCTAACACCCTGCCCTTTATCAATCAATCAATCAACAACTTGAATTTTAATGCCAAGAAGGTTGGCAATGAAGTCCAAACCGTGCGCTGCGTGAATGTAAAAGGACAAATGTAAGGAGCCACAACGTTTACCTTAAAGGGCCCATCTCATGCAAAATCAAATTTTCAGAGCTTTCTATCATCTAAGAGTGATGTGTGGGCCTTGTATTTGTCGCCGAAGTGGTTTTTAGATTGATTTGGTGTTTTTTTTTAACAAATTGCAGCATATTTCTGCCACCCTCCCACGTGACAACGAACTAAAGCTGCTACAACGATGACGCGGCAGATACACCTATGACACGTTTTGAGGTAGCAGAAAACGCTTTGCACCCTCCCCCACTCCACCGCCTCCACCCCACCTCCACCCGCATCGTCTGACAATTCCCACATGAACACCTAAACAAAAGCGACAGCATAAGCTCATTGTTCTACACTGCAGTGAACACGACATAACACGAACACGATATAAGTTGATCTACTAGTGTTTATTAATATTTTACCAATCAGTAATGTTCAGCTGATGTGGACGCGGTGCTTGAGCTTCATCTTCACCTCAAAGTCCTCGTCTGATTCCGGGTCCAACACATGCGGCTGAACGCGCTGTATCTCCATGATGAATAAAAGTTTATTCCTACCACTATCAGGGTGCACTGTGCCTGTCTCCCCCTCCCTCCCTGAGATGGGCGGAGGAAGGGCGGCTCACTCGTCGCCTACGTCACATTTGGAGGGCGGAGCCTGTGCTTTCTCAGGACGGGCGGGGTGATGAACAATAGTCATTCATACACAGTCCCTGGACTGCGACTGCCTCCAAGAAATCAGTAAGATTTCATAACTATTGTGTAATGGATGTACCAAAACCCAAATTGTGCTTGTTTATGTGCAGAAGATACAATGTGAAAAGAGTTATTTTACATGAGATGGGCCCTTTAAGCATAAATAATCACAAGTAAAATCAGAGAGTCAAGTTCACAGTCTAGAATGTGTTATTATTATTTGTGAAATGCGGTACAATACAGATAATGTTTTTTTTATGCGAAGAAGGTTGGCGATCCGACCCGTGCGCTGCGTGAATGTAAACGGACAAACGTGAGGAGCCACATTGTTTCCCTGAAAAGAATGCTTCAAACTGGATTCACAGCGCTGTTTTGTGAACTGGGTGTCATTATTTGCGGGGAACAATTCTATGGATTATATTCATGACAATGCTGCAGTTTAACTTTACAACTTTACCAGAGGTGAGTAATAAAGTCTTCTCATTATTATTGTCTTATTGGCTGTTGGCGTGGCAATGTTTTAGTGTTATGATGTGACAGAATAGCTCTCACACACACACACACACACACACACAAGGAGGAGGTGATGTGTTTTGGTCGAACAAGGGAGGGTGTGGCCTAAGGAGATCAACACCCCGTATGTGTACACAGTATTGTACAGAATTATTAGGCAGTGTCTTTTCTCCAGGCAAAATGGGCCATAAAAAAGATTTAACTGACTCTGAAAAGTCAACAATTGTAAAAAGTCTTTCAGAGGTACGCGGCACTCATGAAATTGCAGAAATATTGGGGCGTGATCACAGAACCGTCAGACGTTTTGTTGCAAATATTCAAGTGTCACAAGAAAAGCTTTGAGAAAAAAAGATGCCAGGAACTCATTTCCTCCTCTGCTGTCATATTCCAGAACTGCCTGGAGAGTCCAAAAGTACAAGGTGTTTAGTAGGGCTGGGTATCATTAAGAAGTTGCCTATACGATACATACCTCGATACACAGGCCACGATACGATACATATCTCGATACAGTGCACTTTCGATTCGATATGATATATTTCAAATCGATTCGATACGGTTAAATAAAAAATAAAGTCTAAATCATGTTTGTGATACTAAAGTCTTTGTTAAATCACTTCTTGTGCAAAGTTCATATGAAACACAAACATTTTAATCATCAAAAATGAAAATGTCAAATGTGTCGCATAAATGAGTTTCCTTTCACTCCACAAGCAACAAAACTGTGGCACTGTAACAAAATAATTTAGTAAAACACACGTAAAAATACTCTTGTGGATATATCAATACAGTAGCCCACGATATCGATACTGTATCATCACATTAAACGATACGATATATCGATATTCCGATATTTTTGCACACCCCTAGTGTTTAGTGCTCAGAGACATGGCCAAGGTCAGGAGGGCTGAAACCCGAGCACCACTGAACAAGAAACATAAGCTGAAACGTCAAGACTGGGCCAAGAAAAATCCGCAGACAGATTTTTCAAAGGTTTTATGGACTGATGAGATGAGAGTGACTCTTGACGGAGCAGGTGGACGGGCCCGTGGCTCGATCAGTAATGGGCACAGAGCTCCACTTCGACTCCGACGCCAGCAGGGTGGAGGTGGGGGACTGGTATGAACTGGTATTATTAAAGATGAGCTGGTTGGACGTTTTTGGATTAAAGATGGACTCAAAATAAACTCCAAACTTCTTTCAAGCAGTGGATAAAGTCTGCGTCTTTCAAGAGGACCATGATTTTTATGCAGGAAAATGCTCCATCGCTGCATTGAAGTACTCCACTGCATGACTGCCACTAAAGGCCTTAAAGATTGTGACGGAGCCGCCCGTCGTTGCCCCGTCATCACCAGAGCCGGCAGAGCGCGCGGAACGTTATCTTCGATGGACTGTTTCCACCCAGGACCGCTCATGTGTCTGTGCAGTCCTGTCCCCCCACAGACTGTTTCCCCGATACCTGGATTCTGTTTTCCCGGCTAGTGCGTTCGAGGGTGCACACTCGACGCCTACGCCCCACACACTCTTACCTGTATCCGCACTGTTCTCTGGTTCGGGGGCCAAACCGTGGCACTTCCTGGTTGCGCTCTAAATATCGCATAGTGTCGCACTAAGGGAGGTCACGTGATCTCGGACTTGACCATTTATTTATTTATTTATTCATTTATTCATTCATTCATTCATTCATTTATTTATTTATTTATTTATGCACATATAACATGACAATAAAAAGAAGCACAAAGTAGGTGCCGGAAGAGGCAAAAAAAACCAATAGGGCGAAATATTAAAGCCTCCACCTTATGAATACATAAAAAATTCAAAATTATCATTGTGCATAAAAAAAGATCTATATAGAAAAATTACATTTAAATACCATGGATTAAATTATTTTGATTCAAACATGGATTAAAACACAATGACACGACGCCTCTGATCTGCCGTCACTAACCAGACGTGAAAACTGCTCCAGAATTTCCCGCCTCTGTGTCGTCGCAAAACTGAGCTCTTGATGTGACAAATTTTGGAACATGAAAATTTGGAATTTGAAGTTTTGTAACTATGAATCTCTGCATTGGTTTTAAAATAAAATGTGAAATATTTGGGGATCATTGTTTAATTATAAAGAATTTTATACATAAAAATACAAATTTGATAAAGATTAATCCCATAAATATTAAGAATGTTAAGTTTGCTGAATAAATGAGCAGACGATGTTAGTGGCATAGAATCAGTTGCAATTCGAACAAAACGTTTTTGCACCTATAATATTTTGTTCAGAGTAGTAGAGAAAGTGCTTGCCAGACTATCTTTCACTACAATTGCGGTCAATTTGTGTGTTTATTTAATTTTTATTTTTTTAAGTTATTACATTGAATTGAGGAGAGCCATATGAGGGGTTCTTTAAGTCATTTTTATTATGTTTATTTGTAAGTTGATTTATGTTCATGAGTACAGTTTTGCCCGGTCTGGTCTCGGACCTGGATCAGTCCTGGTTCAGTCCATGCGCGGTGCAAAAGTCAGTGATGGAAGTCACATAAACGGGAATCGGCCGTTATCCATTTTTTCCATTCTTCATTTAAACACAAAATCGAAAACTGACAAAACGAATCATTATCCGTTTTTTTATTTTGATTTTGGAGACACATAACGAAGAAAACTGTTGTTTTTTCGCTTTCTTATTTTTGGTTTTATATTGAAAAACGAATGAACGAATGATACACGGATTACATGGCCCCCTTCCTCACCTGACCTAAACCCTATTAAGAACTCGTGGGCTCTTCTTAACCGGGAGAAGTACGGTGAAGGAAAACAGCCCACGTCTAAACAGCGTGTGGACAGTGTCACAAAAAGTTGATTGTTGACAGATCAAGAAACTGATGAATGAATGAATGAATGAAAGCTTATGGTCATTTTTGAGAAGAAGTGTGGCTACAATGAAGTACAATGTACTGTCACTCATTTATTTATTTTATTTATCTTTTTCTCGAAATGTCAGAAATGTTTTTTTGTAAATTTTGAGTTGCTCACTATTCTGACGGATGAAAATAAACAAGTGAGAACGGTAAATCTTCATTTTTCTTTTAGTTGCGTAATAATTCTGCACATTAATAGTTGTGCACATATAGATTTCTTCTAAGAAAGCCAAAACGTCACTTTTACTTTACTTAAATATTCAGATTTGAACTTTATTAACATTTCAGATTGACTGACAGCACTGTAGTTGTCCAATTATGAGATTAATCCGCACAAATACATTTAGTCTAATAATTATACAGACGGTGTAAAAAGGTGAATCATATCGCATGTACAATGAAGTAAAGGTCAACAATGCACCTGTCTGCCCAAAGAGTTACATAACAAGTTTTGACATCATCAGAGCTCCAAACATCAGCATCATCCGTAACTGCGTCCTCCTCCAGTCTGGGAGGAGACAACATGTGAATAATTGTGATTACTGTTAGTGGTATGTGATGTGTCAGGAATGCAGCATGTATGAATATATACAATATAAACAAATTTCAAGCAGTCAGATCATTCTTAACGCACTGGACTAGCAGAGAGAGAAGACAAGCAGAGGAATCCTTTATCACAGTAAGTACACAAGGATATTCACTGTATTTGAGGAGGAATATACTTTGAAAATGTTTTACGTGCTTTCATCATTCTAACGGAAGGACCAGAAAACTAAATATATATACTTTTTAGCAGGGGACAATTCGATTTCGTCACAATTCGATTCTTATTTCGATGCATGGTTCACAGTTTTGATTTTCGATCGAAGCTTGGTGAGATTTTGGCGGGACCCCAGCTCGGTTAGGTCTACAGAGTTACTATGAGAGGATCTGCACACATTTTTTTTTTTTGGCAACACAGATTATTTGGCACCAAGTTCTGCAGGATTTAAGCAACAGTCGACAAATTATTGATTTATGGCTGTACTGTGAAAAGTTACGGACCAGCAGAACTATATTTTATTTGAAAAAGTTAATGTAGCCTTCATAAAACTGTGGGATCTGGAGGTCCAATTTTTTTTTTTTTTTTTTTTTTTCTCAATTTTTGGTGCATAAGTTTTGTCCAGATCATCAAATGTGACTTTTCCAGCACCAGAGAAACTTTATCTACTTTAATAGTTTATGTGCACTCAGCTTTCATTCAAACCCACAAGCCAACAGCAACTCTTTTTTTTTTTTTTTTTGTTTTTTTTTACTTTATTTTATCAATAACCCAAATTTGCTGCATAAACAAAATTAGCCATACAACCACAAACCCATCAGTGACTGGACGTGGTCTGGGCCTGGATGGACAGTCTTACACATGAATGAAGAAGAGGAGATTGTCAGCATCCCTGTAGTTTTTTTTTTAAATTTCGTGTCGATATGTTGATATGTTTTTTAATAGAAGTGACCCTGTGTGCAGAGCCTCATGAGCGGGGCAGAGAGAAAGAGAGAGGGCAGGGCTGCTCCCGGAGGCGGCAGCGCGACACACACACACACACACACACACAGGATCCATCATGAGGGAGAGGCTGGGCGAGTGCATGAGAGTTGGCAGCTTTGATCCTTTAATGAATATATCCTATATGTAATGAGTCTGGAGTTTATTTAAGAACTGATTGTGAACTTTAAGCCACAGTAGAATAGTGTTACCTCCTCAAAAACAGACCTGTAGTTGTGTTTTGTTCCATTCGCACACGTTTGAGTAACCCTTGTTTATTAGTTCACACGACAATGCTCCTGGATTTTTGTTTTGCGGTTTGAAAAAAATGTACGTCCAAACACGATCAATAAATATTCACGTCCAGACAACAATGGAGCATTGAGTGAAAATGATGTAATACAGGTGCCACACCTGTATGTGGTTCTGTCAGTGATAATAATGTTTAATAATGCAGATCTCATCGCCGTTTTTTTAAACTTTAAACTGTTTTAGATGTATCCCACAAATATCGGCGTTTTGTTTTGCAAAAGTTAAACATAAGTTTTCATTTTTAGCCATAAAATCTGGATGAGAATTATTAGAATAACTTGGTCTCAAAATCGAACAGTTTAATTACTGGTGTGTAATCTTTGTTATTGATCCGTGTGTGTAATTTGTGTGGTGCGTGTTGTTAGAGTTAGTGTTAGCAGCGTGTCTCGGGTGCGGGGCGACAGGAGCGGCTCCGTAGGCTGCACCTGTCACATTTTTCCTATCACAGTCTTCTCTGCATCTGAGGGTCCTGGCGATGAAGGGGCACAATGTAATCATTTTCCAAAAGCTGCGATTTGTTTGTCCACACGACAACACAACACCGGCATTTTCAGATTTCTCCACTCTGGAACCCATTTTCAAAAAACATAGTTTTCGTCCACTCAAAACGCCGGCTCCGTGTGGACGAAAGGCCAAAACAAATCAAAACTTCACTGTATCAACCAAAAAACGTTGTCATGTGGACACCACCATAGTCTCACTACATCTCCAAAACTCAAAATATTCTATTCCACCTTGTGATGTCATGAAGTAGTACCTTTACCTTTTGTTCAGTAAAGATCAGTAATTCCAGAACTGAAATGATCCAACTGATTCTAGTGAATAATAATAATAATAAATCATAATAACCTAATCATAATCATAAGTGTAATGATTTTTATTTATTTATTACACTCTTAAAAGAACGACAATAAATCATCGATAAGCAGAAATATACTTCTGTAAAAAAGGAAAGTTTTTAGTCCGTTTTTAAAAGGATCCGTCTGATGCAAGACAAGGCAAGTCAAGTTTATTTGTACAGCACAATTTGTACACAAAATAATTCAAAGTGCTTCACAGTATAAGAAGGACATTAAAATCACAATAAAAACAAACCAAAACATAAATAATCATCATAAAATTAAAGATTAAAAATTAAAGAGTGTGGAATGAAAATCGAAAACCCTCCAGTTGTATTCAGCTAAACAGAACAGTTTTGAGCCTGGAGTCAAAGTCAAGTTTGTCTCACGTCTTCAGACTGTTCCAGGTTTTAGTTGCATAAATCTGAAACTCTGACTCCCCGTGTTTAGTCGAGACTCTGGGCTCTAACAGGAGGTCGGTCCCTGAGCTCCTTAGACTGCGAGATGGTTCATGTGGCACTAACATGTCACAGATGGACTTTGGTGTTTGCCACAGTCTCGAAGGCCCCGTCCCCCCGGTCCTGGCTGAGCTGTGTGGTGTGTGAGCAGGTCTGTCATGTAGGTGATGTGATGTAGATACAGTGGTGGGCCTCCTTGTGTTCGATGAGGAGGTGAACAGGGAGTCAGTGCAGGGTGTGGAGGTTGGGGTGATGTGCTTGTGTTTATGCTCTTTAATCCGGACCGTGTCGGCGCTGATCTGAACAGACTGGAGTTTTTGGATGCTCCTGTCAGGGATCCCGATGAGGAGTGTGTTACAGTAGTTCAACCTGGAGAAGACAAAAGCAGGGACAAGCTTCTCGAGAGCTGGGATGGGAAGAGATTTTACAGAGATATTCCAGACATTTTGCAGATGAGGGTGACATGATGGTGGATGGAGAGGTTGGTGACAGAAGGAGAGAGGAACGTTGTGCCCAAAGAGTGACATGCAGGTGATGGTGGAAGAGTGAAGTTGTGGAGATGGGATTTAGTGCCCCTTAGGACAATCCGTGTATCATTCGTTCATTCGTTTTTCAATATAGAATCAAAAATAAGAAAATGAAAAAACAACAGTTTTCTTCGTTATTTGTCTCCAAAAAATGGATAACGATTAGTTTTTTCAGTTTTCAATTTTGTGTTTAAATGAAAAATGGAAAAAACGGATAACGACCGTTTCCCGTTTACGTGACTTAAACTGCGATGCCGGACTGAACCAGGACTGAACCAGGACTAAACCATGACTAAACTGTTTTCAGTCCTGGTCTGGTCCCGGTCTCAGTCCCAGCCTCAGTCTTGGTCCTGTTCCTGGTCTGAGTCCTGGTCTCAGTTCTGGTCTGGTCCCGGCCTTAGTCCCGGTCTCAATCATGATCTGGTCCTGGTCTGGTCCCAGCCTCAGTCTCGGCCTCAGTCCTGGACTCAGTCCCGGACTCAGTCACAATCTAGTCCTGGTCTGGTTCAGGCCTCAATCCCGGTCTCAGTCACGGTCTGGTCCTGGTCTGGTCCCGGTCTCAGTCTTGGTCCTGTTCAAGGTCTCAGTCCTGGTCTCAATCTCGGTCAGGCTCCGGTGTGGTCCCGGACCTGTTTTGGTCCTGATTCAGTCCTGGTTCAGGTCGGCATCGCAGTTTAAGTTTTTTAAAACACAAAATCAAAAAATGAAAAAAAAAAATAAATAAAAAAATCATTATCCGTTTTTTCATTTCAGACAAATAAAGAAGAAAATTGTTGTTTTTTCATTTTCTTATTTTTGTTTGTACGTTGATAAAACAAATGAACGAATGATACACAGATTTAGGACCACGTACTCGGAAGCAGTTAAGAAGAATAAAAAGGGACGTGGAAGTGGAGTCAGAGACCATCAGCAGGTCAACAATGACTCTGCCGGTTCTGAAGTTGTATGGAGTCCAAAACCACAGTGGAGCACTTCCTGTATTACCACATGACATCACAAGGTAGAACAGAGTGTTTTTACTTTTAGAGAAGAACTCAGCCTAAATATGCAGGGTTAATTTGCGTGATAAATGTGCACATGAAACGAAACACAACTCCAGGTCTGTTCTTGATGGGGAAACATAAAATAGATCAGCAAATAGGGTAATACAGGCCCTTTGATCATTGGAAGAAAAAAACAAGCTCAATCAGAGACACCAACCTGGTCCCCATGAGGCGTCGGTGGGTCAGTTCATCACCACAGAAGCAGTTTATGAGGAGTCCAGCCCATATCACATGATCGTTATATCCACAATGTAATGTGTGCATGTGTACAGGCCCATGAACATTTGTGTGATGTTGGTCACACATGAGAACCGTCTGTGTTTTACTAGTGTGGAACCAAAATATCATTTTTCATGAGTTGTGTATGTGTTCGTTGTGTGACTGTAGATCAGTGTGTTGTGTATCACCAGAAAAACAAGAAATGGAAATTATTTTTGTTCTAATTACAATTTTAACGTGAAACACTGAAAGAGAAAGGAACTGCTATAATTAGTGATTATCTTGAAAACTATTATTATTTTACTATTCAAATGCATAGAATTATAAATAGATCATAATTTTTCTGAGATTTTGAGACACTCCTGTTGCTCGAGCTTGATCCTTCGTGGAGTTATGACCAAAAACACATATTTGACCTTGGTTACCTCGACCGGTTACAACCTGTAACATCCAGTGTGCTCCGGTTATGTGTGTGCCAACTTGTGTGATGATTGGGTGAATACTTTAGGCCGCAGATGGTTCAGAAATTGGCGAAATTGCCAATCCTTTATAATGGCGTGACCTTTCAATTGACCCGTTTGACCACAAATGACCTCAGATCATCAAAAAACTTTTTTTTTTTTTTTTTGCGGCATCGGACACGGGGGCTTGACCCACGTACCAAATTTGGTGACAATCGGTCCATAAATCGCAGAACAGTTGACAGGATGAATACAAAACCTGGTCAACCCTTCAGGGACCAGGTCATAAGGTCTTATATGGGGCATGTGGTTTGATTTGTTACACCACCATCACATCTGTCCCTTCTCTGTATTTATTTATTGTGTCTTCCGGACTCTCTCATGTCTGTGTCTCTGCGATTCTGTGAGAAGAAAGTGAGAAAAGTGAGAAGAGTACATTTGATTAACATACACAAAGTCAAAAGTGATTTTTAGACATTGACATCATAGACATCTAAAAGACTAAAAAACTCACATGTCAAGTTATAGCTTACTTTGTCTATTTAAGATATTTAATCAAAACAATCTTCTTTTTTTTTTTTTTGGAGAAATAGATGATGCCATGATATTAAAAAAGAGAGAGAGACAACTGTTGCCAATAGGGTCGCAAACACAGATCTATAATAATAACATGGCTGCAAATAATGAGGTTTTTATTGACTTTTTAAAATCGTTTTTAATAGTTGTGGGTTGAAAAAAAGGTTGGAATATGGTAACTGACTTGTACATATAGACTATTTAAAAATTGTGTATTCATGTTTTTTATTTTTTTTATTTTTTTTCTATTCATGTTTGACATTTTGATTTAAAACGTTGATTTTATCCTCGTTATAAAGGGTCACATGTTTCAGAGTCTGTATACTAAAGAAGATAATGACATATCAACATGTAATGACAATTATTCATTTGCCACGACTGTACAAGATCACCAGTACCGTATGCCAATCTTGAGAAATTTAACAAATTGAAAATATTCGCTACTTATTCAATCATATTTTACATACTACACGTTATAATTGGTTATAAATAGGGGTGTGACGATATCCAAGTCTCGCGATACGATATGGATGGATGTATGGAAGTTCACGATATGTTGGGGAGGCTCACGATTAGGGATGTAACAATATCCAAATCTCTCTGTGCAATATTTTCATGATATACATCTCACGGTGCGATATTTATTGCAATATTTTGTGGAGGCAAAACAGCTGAAACTGTTAATATGCGACTTTTTCCTCTTAAAATGCCTTGACAAGACTTAAACATGCTTAGAACTGTTATTTCTTCTTGGAGTCTGCACAAAAATGGAGCAAAGGATCATGGTCTATGTAGTTCCCTCTGTCTTTTTAAATTTTATTATTATTATTATTATTATTATTATTATTATTATTATTATTATTTCTGCATCCTAATTCTTAATTTAAGCAAAGAGACTTGCTCCACGATATTATTGTGTGAACTTTGACGGTACGATATCATGATATTTTGGTTATTGTTACATCCTTAGTTATAATACATTTGATATTGATCCCTTCATTATTATTTTTTATACACACAATTTCTTTGATATTTTTTGACAATGCCATTCTAAAGTATATATTTTTGTATCTTTTCAGTTTTTTTTCACGCTTGTAAGTGGACAAAACTGCAAAGGAAAGACAGATTCATAATTCACCATGATCATCAGGTTGCTTCTCCTGGTGTTACTACCAGTAGGTAAGTGGTCACGATTATAATTATTCTCTGTTCTTTAAGACACTGTTGATCTGACACTGACTCTGACATTTTTATTATGCAACAGTATTGAACGCCCAATCTGGGGGAAAACTCCAAATCAACCTACACCTGCTAACCCTACTCCAACTAAACATGCTCCAAATAGACGTACAACAACTACAACTGCAGCAACTACCATGACAGCTGCTACAACTTCTGCTGCTCCAACAACAAGCACAGGACCTCCAACTACCACGCCTCCTCTGCCAACCACAACTACAGCTGCTCCAACCACAACTACAGCTGTTCCAACCACAACTACAGCTGCTCCAACCACAACTACAGCTGCTCCAACCACAACTACAGCTGCTCCAACCACAACTACAGCTGCTCCAACCACAACTGCCCCACCTACAACTACAACTACACCTCCTCCAACTACAACTACAGCTGCTCCAACTACAACAAACACCCCTCTGCCAACTACAACGACAACTACAGCTGTTCCAACTACACAACCACCCCTCTGCCAACTACAACGACAACTACAACTGTTCCAACTACCACAACCACCCCTCCGCAAACTACAACGACAACTACAACTGTTCCAACTACAACAACCACCCCTCTGCCAACTACAACGACAACTACAACTGTTCCAACTACCACAACCACCCCTCTGCCAACTACAACGACAACTACAACTGTTCCAACTACCACAACCACCCCTCCGCCAACTACAACGACAACTACAACTGTTCCAACTACCACAACAACCCCTCTGCCAACTACAACTACAACTGTTCCAACTACACAAACCACCCTTCTGCCAACTACAACGACAACTACAACTGTTCCGACTACCACAACCACCCCTCTGCCCAACTACGACAACTACAACTGTTCCAACTACCACAACCACCCCTCTACCAACTACAACGACAACTACTACTACTCCAACTACCACAACCACCCCTCTACCAACTACAACGACAACTACTACTACTCCAACTACCACAACCACCCCTCCGCCAACTACAACGACAACTACATCTGTTCCAACTAAACATTCACCTACTCCAACTAAACGTACAGCTACTCCAAAAAAACGTACAACTGCTCCAACTACAGTGACAACTACCACTATAACTACCACAACCACCCCTCTGCCAACTACAACGACAACTGCCACTGTTCCAACTACCACAACCACCCCTCTACCAACTACAACTACAACAACAACTACTACTACTCCAACTACCACAACCACTCCTCAGCCAACTACAACAACAACTGTTCCAACTACCACAACTACCCCTCTGCCAACTACAACGACAACTACTACTGTTCCAACTACCACAACCACCCCTCTGCCAACTACAACGACAACTACTACTACTCCAACTACCACAACCACTCCTCAGCCAACTACAACAACAACTACAACTGTTCCAACTACCACAACCACCCCTCTGCCAACTACAACAACAACTGTTCCAACTACCACAACTACCCCTCTGCCAACTACAACGACAACTACAACTGTTCCAACTACCACAACCACCCCTCTGCCAACTACAACGACAACTACAACTGTTCCAACTACCACAACAACCCCTCTGCCAACTACAACAACAACTGTTCCAACTACCACAACTACCCCTCTGCCAACTACAACGACAACTACAACTGTTCCAACTACCACAACCACCCCTCTGCCAACTACAACGACAACTACAACTGTTCCAACTACCACAACAACCCCTCTGCCAACTACAACTACAACTGTTCCAACTACCACAACCACCCCTCTGCCAACTACAACGACAACTACAACTGTTCCAACTACCACAACCACCCCTCTGCCAACTACAACGACAACTACATCTGTTCCAACTAAACATTCACCTACTCCAACTAAACGTACAGCTACTCCAAAAAAACGTACAACTGCTCCAACTACAGTGACAACTACCACTATAACTACCACAACCACCCCTCTGCCAACTACAACGACAACTACCACTGTTCCAACTACCACAACCACCCCTCTACCAACTACAACGACAACTACTACTGTTCCAACTACCACAACCACCCTCTACCAACTACAACGACAACTACGACTACTCCAACTACCACAACCACCCCTCTGCCAACTACAACTACAACTGTTCCAACTACCACAACCACCCCTCTGCCAACTACAACTACAACTGTTCCAACTACCACAACTACCCCTCTGCCAACTACAACGACAACTACAACTGTTCCAACTACCACAACCACCCTCTGCCAACTACAAACGACAACTACAACTGCTCAACTACAACACCAACACAACCCCTCTGCCAACTACAACAACAACTGTTCCAACTACCACAACCTACCCCTCTGCCAACTACAACGACAACTAACAAACTGTTCCAACTACCACAACCACCCCTCTGCCAACTACAACGACAACTACAACTGTTCCAACTACCACAACAACCCCTCTGCCAACTACAACTACAACTGTTCCAACTACCACAACCACCCCTCTGCCAACTACAACGACAACTACAACTGTTCCAACTACCACAACCACCCCTCTGCCAACTACAACGACAACTACAACTGTTCCAACTAAAATTTACCTACTCCAACTAAACGTACAGCTGCTAAACCTACAACTGCTCCAACTACAAGTGACAACTACCAACTATAAACTACCACAACCACCCCTCTGCCAACTACAACAACAACTACCAACTGTTCCAACTACCACAACACCCCTCTGCCAACTACAAACGACAACTACTACTGTTCCAACTACCAACAACCACCCCTCTGCCAACTACAACGACAACTACTCAACTACTCCAACTACCACAACCACCCCTCACCCCTCTGCCAACTACAAAACAACTACAACTGTTCCAACTACCACAACCACCCCTCTGCCAACTACAACAAACAACTGTTCCAACTACCACAACTACCCCCTCTGCCAACTACAACGACAACTACAACTGTTCCAACTACCACAACCACCCTCCTGCCAACTACAACGACAACTACAACTGTTCCAACTACCACAACCACCCCTCCAACTGCCAACTAACAACTACAACTGTTCCAACTACCACAACCACCCCTCTGCCAACTACAAAACAACTACAACTGTTCCAACTACCACAACCACCCCTCTGCCAACTACAACGACAACTGTTCCAACTACTACAACCACCCCTCTGCCAACTACAACTGCAAAGACAACTGCTCGAACAAAAAATTCACCTACTCCAACTAAACGTACACCTAAACCTGCTCCAACTACAACGACAACAACAACTTCTCCAACTACCACAACCACCCCTCTGCCAACTACAATGACAACTACAACTGTTCCAACTACCACAACCACCCCTCTGCCAACTACAACTACAACTGTTCCAACTACAACAACCACCCCTCTACCAACTACAACCACAACTACAACTGTTCCAACTACAACAACCACCCCTCTGCCAACTACAACGACAACTGTTTCCAACTACCACAACAACACAACAACTCTGCCAACTACAACAACAACTACAACAACAACTGTTCCAACTACCACAACCACCCCTCTGCCAACTACAACAACTACAACTGTTCCAACTACCACAACCACCCCTCTGCCAACTACAACAACTACAACTGTTCCACCAACTACCACAAACCACCCCTCTGCCAACTACAAGACAACTACAACTGTTCCAAACTAACNTCCAACTACCACAACCACCCCTCTGCAACTACAAACAACTCAAACACAACTATTCCAACTACCACAACCACCCCTTCTGCCAACTACAACGACAACTACAACTGTTCCAACTACCACAACACCCCCTCTGCCAACTACAACAACAACTACAACTGTTCCAACTACCACAACCACTACCCTCTGCCAACTACAACTGACAACTACAACTGCTCAACTAAAAAATTCACCTACTCCAACTAAACGTACACCTAAACCTGCTCCAACTACAACGACAACTACAACTTTCCAACAACAACCACCCCTCTGCCAACTACAAAAACAACTAACTCCAACTACCACAACCACCACCAACTGCCAACTACAACAACAACTACCCCCCAACTACCACACCAACCCCCTCTGCCAACTACAACACAAACAACTGTTCCAACTACCACAACCACCCCTCTGCCAACTACAACGACAACTACAAACTGTTCCAACTACCAACCACCCCTCTGCCAACTACAACGACAACTAAACTGTTCCAACTACCACAACCCCCTCTGCCAACTACAACAAACAACTACAAACTGTTCCAACTACCACAACCACCCCTCTACAACACAACAACAACAACTACAACTGTTCCAACTACCACAACCACCCCTCTGCCAACTACAACGACAACTACAACAGTTCCAACTACCACAACCACCCCTCTGCCAACTACAACAACAACGGCTCGAACTAAAAATTCACCTACTCCAACTAAACGTACACTAAACCTGCTCCAACTACAACGACAACAACAACTTCTCCAACTACCACAACCACCCTCTGCCAACTACAACAAACAACTACCACTTCCAAACTACCACAACAACCACCCCTCTGCCAACTACAACGACAACTACTGTTCCAACTACCACTCCAACTACCACAACCACCCCTCTGCCAACTACAACAACAACTACTACCACTCCAACTACCACAACCACCCCTCTGCCAACTACAACGACAACTACAACTGTTCCAACTACCACAACCACCCCTCTGCCAACTACAACAACAACTACAACTGTTCCAACTACCACAACCACCCCTCTGCCAACTACAACGACAACTACAACTGTTCCAACTACCACAACTACCCCTCTGCCAACTACAACTACAACTGTTCCAACTACCACAACCACCCCTCTGCCAACTACAACAACTACAACTGTTCCAACTACCACAACCACCCCTCTGCCAACTACAACGACAACTACAACTGCTCAACTAAACGTACACCTGCTCAACAAAAAATTCACCTAATCCAACTAAACGTACAGCTAAACCTGCTCCAACTACAATGACAACAACCAACGACAACTGTTCCACTACCACAAACCACAACACACCCCTCTGCCAACTACAACAACAACTACACCACTCCAACTACCACAACTACCCCTCTGCCCAACTACAACCAACAACTACAACTGTTCCAACTACCACAACCACCCCTCTGCCAACTACAACAACAACTACTACCACTCCAACTACCACAACACCCCTCTTCCAACTAACAACAACAACTACAACTGTTCCAACTACCACAACCAACCCCTCTGCCAAAACAACAACAACTACAACTGTTCCAACTACCACAACCACCCCTCTGCCAACTACAACAACAACTACAACTGTTCCAACTACCACAACCACCCCTCTGCCAACTACAACTGCAACGACAACTGCTCGAACTAAAAATTCACCTACTCCAACTAAACGTACACCTAAACCTGCTCCAACTACAACGACAACAACAACTTCTCCAACTACCACAACCACCCCTCTGCCAACTACAACAACAACTATTACCACTCCAACTACCACAACCACCCCTCTGCCAACTACAACAACAACTATTACCACTCCAACTACCACAACCACCCCTCTGCCAACTACAACGACAACTACAACTGTTCCAACTACCACAACCACCCCTCTGCCAACTACAACAACTACAACTGTTCCAACTACCACCCCCCTCTGCCAACTACAACGACAACTACAACTGTTCCAACTACCACAACTACCCCTCTGTCAACTACAACTTCAACTGTTTCAACTACCACACCACCCCTCTCCAACTACAACCTACCAACCACCCCTCTGCCAACTACAACAACTACAAGTGTTCCAACTACCACAACCACCCCTCTGCCAACTACAACGACAACTACAACTGCTCGAACTAAACGTACACCTGCTCAAACAAAAAATTCACCTACTCCAACTAAACGTACAGCTAAACCTGCTCCAACTACAACGACAACAACAACGACAACTGTTCCAACTACCACAACCACCCCTCTACCAACTACAACAACAACTACAACTGTTCCAACTACCACAACCACCCCTCTGCCAACTACAACAACAACTACTACCACTCCAACTACCACAACTACCCCTCTTCCAACTACAACAACAACTACAACTGTTCCAACTACCACAACCACCCCTCTGCCAACTACAACAACAACTACTACCACTCCAACTACCACAACTACCCCTCTTCCAACTACAACAACAACAACTACAACTGTTCCAACTACCACAACCACCCCTCTGCCAAACTACAACAACAACTACAACTGTTCCAACTACCACAACCACCCCTCTGCCAACTACAACAACTACAACTGTTCCAACTACCACAACTACCCCTCTGCCAACTACAACTGTTCCAACTACCACAACCACCCCTCTGCCAACTACAACTGCAACGGCTCGAACTAAAAATTCACCTACTCCAACTAAACGTACACCTAAACAACTGCTCCAACTACCAACAACACCACCCCTCTGCCAACTACAACAACAACTATTACCACTCCAACTACCACAACCACCCCTCTGCCAACTACAACAACAACTATTACCACTCCAACTACCCACAACCACCCCTCTCCAACTACAACGACAACTACAACTGTTCCAACTACCACAACCACCCCTCTGCCAACTACAACAACTACAACTGTTCACAACTACCACAACCCACCCCTCTGCCAACTACAACGACAACTACAACTGTTTCCAACTACCACAACTACCCCTCTGCCAACTACAACAACAACTACAACTGTTCAACTACCACAACCACCTCTGCCAACTACAAACAACTACAACTGTTCCAACTACCACAACCACCCCTCTGCCAACTACAACGACAACTACAACTGCTCGAACTAAACGTACACCTGCTCAAACAAAAAATTCACCTACTCCAACTAAACGTACAGCTAAACCTGCTCCAACTACAATGACAACAACAACTTCTCCAACTACCACAACCACCCCTCTGCCAACTACAACAACAACTACTACCACTCCAACTACCACAACCACCCCTCTGACAACTACAACAACAACAACAACACCTGTTCCAACTACCACAACGACCCCTCTGCCAACTACAACTGTTCCAACTACCACAACTACCCCTCTGCCAAACTACAACTGCAACGAACAACTGCTCAAACAAAAAATTCACCTACTCCAACTAAACGTACACCTAAACCTGCTCCAACTACAACGACAACAACAACTTCTCCAACTACCACAACCACCCCTCTGCCAACTACAACAACAACTACTACCACTCCAACTACCACAACTACCCCTCTTCCAACTACAACAACAACTACAACTGTTCCAACTACCACAACCACCCCTCTGCCAACTACAACAACAACTACTACCACTCCAACTACCACAACTACCCCTCTTCCAACTACAACAACAACAACTACAACTGTTCCAACTACCACAACCACCCCTCTGCCAAATACAACAACAACTACAACTGTTCCAACTACCACAACCACCCCTCTGCCAACTACAACAACTACAACTGTTCCAACTACCACAACTACCCCTCTGCCAACTACAACTGTTCCAACTACCACAACCACCCCTCTGCCAACTACAACTGCAACGACAACTGCTCGAACTAAAAATTCACCTACTCCAACTAAACGTACACCTAAACCTGCTCCAACTACAACGACAACAACAACTTCTCCAACTACCACAACCACCCCTCTGCCAACTACAACAACAACTATTACCACTCCAACTACCACAACCACCCCTCTGCCAACTACAACAACAACTATTACCACTCCAACTACCACAACCACCCCTCTGCCAACTACAACGACAACTACAACTGTTCCAACTACCACAACCACCCCTCTGCCAACTACAACAACTACAACTGTTCCAACTACCACAACCACCCCTCTGCCAACTACAACGACAACTACAACTGTTCCAACTACCACAACTACCCCTCTGCCAACTACAACTGTTCCAACTACCACAACCACCCCTCTGCCAACTACAACAACTACAACTGTTCCAACTACCACAACCACCCCTCTGCCAACTACAACTGCAACGACAACTACAACTGCTCGAACTAAACGTACACCTGCTCAAACAAAAAATTCACCTACTCCAACTAAACGTACAGCTAAAACCTGCTCCAACTACAACGACAACAACAACTTCTCCAACTACCACAACCACCCCTCTGCCAACTACAACAACAACTACTACCACTCCAACTACCACAACCACCCCTTTTGACAACTACAACAACAACAACAACTGTTCCAACTACCACAACTACCCCTCTGCCAACTACAACTGTTCCAACTACCACAACCACCCCTCTGCCAACTACAACTGCAACGACAACTGCTCGAACTAAAAATTCACCTACTCCAACTAAACGTACAGCTAAACCTGCTCCAACTACAACGACAACAACAACTTCTCCAACTACCACAACCACCCCTCTGCCAACTACAACAACAAACTACTACCAAACTCCAACTACCACAAACCACCCCTCTGCCAACTACAACAACAACTACCCAACTGTTCCAACTACCACAAACCACCACAAACCCCTCTGCCAACTACAACGACAACTACAACTGCTCGAACTAAACGTACACCTGCTCAACAAAAAAATTCACCTACTCCAACTAAACGTACAGCTAAACCTGCTCCAACTACAACGACAACAACAACTTCTCCAACTACCACAACCACCCCTCTGCCAACTACAACAACAACAACAACGACAACTGTTCCAACTACCACAACCACCCCTCTGCCAACTACAATGACAACTACAACTGTTCCAACTACCACAACTACCCCTCTTCCAACTACAACAACAACTACAACTGTTCCAACTACCACAACCACCCCTCTGCCAACTACAACAACAACTACAACTGCTCGAACTAAACGTACACCTGCTCAAACAAAAAATTCACCTACTCCAACTAAACGTACAGCTAAACCTGCTCCAACTACAACGACAACTACAACTGTTCCAACTACCACAACCACCCCTCTGCCAACTACAACAACAACTACAACTGCTCGAACTAAACGTACACCTGCTCAAACAAAAAATTCACCTACTCCAACTAAACGTACAGCTAAACCTGCTCCAACTACAACGACAACAACAACGACAACTGTTCCAACTACCACAACGACCCCTCTGCCAACTACAACAACAACTACAACTGCTCGAACTAAACGTACACCTGCTCAAACAAAAAATTCACCTACTCCAACTAAACGTACAGCTAAACCTGCTCCAACTACAACGACAACAACAACGACAACTGTTCCAACTACCACAACCACCCCTCTGCCAACTACAACAACAACTACAACTGTTCCAACTACCACAACCACCCCTCTGCCAACTACAACAACTACAACTGTTCCAACTACCACAACCACCCCTCTGCCAACTACAACAACTACAACTGTTCCAACTACCACAACCACCCCTCTGCCAACTACAACGACAACTACAACTGCTCGAACTAAACGTACACCTGCTCAAACAAAAAATTCACCTACTCCAACTAAACGTACAGCTAAACCTGCTCCAACTACAATGACAACAACAACTTCTCCAACTACCACAACCACCCCTCTGCCAACTACAACAACAACTACTACCACTCCAACTACCACAACCACCCCTCTGCCAACTACAACTTCTCCAACTACCACAACCACCCCTCTACCAACTACAACGACAACTACAACTGTTCCAACTACAACAACCACCCCTCTACCAACTACAACTACAACAACAACTGCTCGCACAAAAAATTCACCTACTCCAACTAAACGTACAGCTAAACCTACAAACGCTCCAACTACAACGATAACTACGACTTCTCGAACTACCACAACTACCCCTCTACCAACTACAACGACAACTACAACTGTTCCAACTACAACAACCACCTTTCTGACAACTACAACTACAACAACAACTGCTCGAACAAAAAATTCACCTACTCCAACTAAACGTACACCTAAACCTGCTCCAACTACAATGACAACAACAACTTCTCCAACTACAACAACCACCCCTCTGACAACTACAACTACAACAACAACTGCTCGAACAAAAAATTCACCTACTCCAACTAAACGTACACTAAACCTGCCTCCAACTAACAATGACAACAACAACAACTTCTCCAACTACAACAACAACAACCACCCCTCTGACAACTACAACTACAACAACAACTGCTCGAACAAAAAAATTCACCTACTCCAACTAAACGTACAGCTAAACCTGCTCCAACTACAACGACAAACAACAAACTTCCCTCTACAACCAACTACAACAACAACACCCCTCTGACAACTACAACAACTACAACAACAACTGCTCGAACAAAAAATTCACCTACTCCAACTAAACGTACAGCTAAACCTGCAACTGCTCCAACTACAACGACAACTACAACTTCTCCAACTACCACAACCACCCCTCTACCAACTACAACGACAACTACAACTGTTCCAACTACAACAACCACCCCTCTACCAACTACAACTACAACAACAACTGCTCGCACAAAAAATTCACCTACTCCAACTAAACGTACAGCTAAACCTACAAACGCTCCAACTACAACGATAACTACAACTTCTCGAACTACCACAACTACCCCTCCACCAACTACAACGACAACTACAACTGTTCCAACTACAACAACCACCCCTCTACCAACTACAACTACAACAACAACTGCTCGAACAAAAAATTCACCTACTCCAACTAAACGTACAGCTAAACCTACAACTGCTCCAACTACAACGACAACTACAACTTCTCGAACTACCACAACCACCCCTCTACCAACTACAACGACAACTACAAGTGTTCCAACTACAAAAACCACCCCTCTACCAACTACAACTACAACGACAACTGCTCGAACAAAACATTCACCTACTCCAACTAAACGTACAGCTGCTCCAACTACAACGACAACTACAACTTCTCGAACTACCACAACCACCCCTCTACCAACTACAACGACAACTACAAGTGTTCCAACTACAAAAACCACCCCTCTACCAACTACAACTACAACGACAACTGCTCGAACAAAACATTCACCTACTCCAACTAAACGTACAGCTGCTCCAACTACAACTACAACTACAACTGTTCCAACTACCACAACCACAACTTTGCCAACTACAACAACAACGACAACTCCTCCAACTTCCACAACCACTCCTGTGCCAACTACAACCACAACTACAACTCCTCCAACTACCACAACCACTCCTCTGCCAACTACAACGACAACTACTACTCCTTCAACTACCACAACCACCCCTCTGCCAACTACAACAACAACTACAACTCCTCCCACTACCTCAATTACAGCTCCAGCTACCTCAACCACCACTCCCGTTGGTGTGTATGAAACGCTAAAGAGCAGATGTACTTCTTTCAATGACACAATATATACAACTCCTCCAACTACCACAACCACTCCTCTACCAACTACAGTGACAACTACAACTCTTCCAACTACCACTACCACCCCTCTGCCAACTACAACCACAACTACAACTCGTCCAACTACCACAACCACCCCTGTTCCAACTTCAACCACAACTACAACTCGTCCAACTACCACAACTACCCCTCTGCCAACTACAACAACAACAACTACAACTCCTCCAACTACAACAACCACCCCTCTTCCAACTCCAACTTCTCCAACTACCACACCACCTCTGCCAACTACAACAACAACTACAACTCCTCCAACTACTACAACCACCATTCTGCCAACTACAACCACAACTACAACTCCTCCAACTACCACATCCACCCCTCTGCCAACTACAACAACAACGACAACTTCTACAACTACCACAACCACCCCTCTGCCAACTACAACGACAACTACAGCTCCTCCAACTACTTCAACTACAGCTTCAGCTACCTCAACCACCACTCCCCTTGGTGTGTATGGAACACTAAAGAGCCGATGTACTTTGTTTAATAACACAACATCTACAACTCCTCCAACTACCACAACCACTCCTCTGCCAACTACAACCACAACTACAACTCCTCCAACTACCACAACCACCACTCTGCCAACTACAACCACAACTACAACTTCTCCAACTACCACAACCACCACTCTACCAACTACAACCACAACTACAACTCCTCCAACTACCACAACCACCACTCTGCCAACTACAACCACAACTACAACTCCTCCAACTACCACAACCACCACTCTGCCAACCACAACCACAACTACAACTCCTCCAACTACCACAACCACCATTCTGTCAACTACAACCACAACTACAACTCCTCCAACTACCACAACCACCACTCTGCCAACTACAACCACAACTACAACTCCTCCAACTACCACAACCACCACTCTGCCAACTACAACCACAACTACAACTCCTCCAACTACCACAACCACCACTCTGCCAACCACAACCACAACTACAACTCCTCCAACTACCACAACCACCGTTTACCAACCACAACAACAACTACAGCTCCAGCTACCTCAACCACCACTCCCCTTGGTGTGTATGGAACACTAAAGAGCCGATGTACTTTGTTTAATAACACAACATCTACAACTCCTCCAACTACCACAACCACCCCTCTGTCAACTACAACCACAACTACAACTCCTCCAACTACCACAACCACCACTCTGCCAACTACAACAACAACTACAACTCCTCCAACTACCACAACCACCCCTCTGCCAACTACAACCACAACTACAACTCCTCCTACTACCACAACCACCACTCTGCCAACTACAACAACAACTACAACTCCTCCAACTACCACAACCACCCGTATGCCAACCACAACAACAAGTACAACTCGTCCAACTACCACAACCACCCGTCTACCAACCACAACCACAACTACAACTCCTCCAACTACCACAACCACCACTCTGCCAACTACAACCACAACTACAACTCCTCCAACTACCACAACCACCACTCTGCCAACCACAACCACAACCACAACTACAACTCCTCCAACTACTACAACCACCCGTTTGCCAACCACAACAACAACTACAGCTCCAGCTACCTCAACCACCACTCCCCTTGGTGTGTATGGAACACTAAAGAGCAGATGTACTTTGTTTAATAACACAACATCTACAACTCCTCCAAATACCACAACCACCCCTCTGCCAACTACAACCACAACTACAACTCCTCCATCTACCACAACCACCACTCTGCCAACTACAACCACAACTACAACTCCTCCAATTACCACAACCACCACTCTGCCAACCACAACCACAACTACAACTCCTCCAACTACCACAACCACCACTCTGCCAACTACAACAACAACAACTACAACTCCTCCAACTACCACAACCACCATTCTGTCAACTACAACCACAACTACAACTCCTCCAACTACCACAACCACCACTCTGCCAACTACAACCACAACAACAACTCCTCCAACTACCACAACCACCACTCTGCCAACTACAACCACAACTACAACTCCTCCAACTACTACAACCACCCGTTTGCCAACCACAACAACAACTACAGCTCCAGCTACCTCAACCACCACTCCCCTTGGTGTGTATGGAACACTAAAGAGCCGATGTACTTTGTTTAATAACACAACATCTACAACTCCTCCAACTACCACAACCACCCCTCTGCCAACTACAACAACAACTACAACTCCTCCAACTACCACAACCACCCCTCTGCCAACTACAACCACAACTACAACTCCTCCAACTACCACAACCACCACTCTGCCAACTACAACAACAACTACAACTCCTCCAACTACCACAACCACCCCTCTGCCAACTACAACAACAACTACAACTCCTCCAACTACCACAACCACCCGTATGCCAACCACAACAACAAGTACAACTCGTCCAACTACCACAACCACCCGTCTACCAACCACAACCACAACTACAACTCCTCCAACTACCACAACCACCCGTTTGCCAACCACAACAACTACAGCTCCAGCTACCTCAACCACCACTCCCTTTGGTGTGTATGAAACGCTAAAGAGCAGATGTACTTCATTTAATAACATAACATCTACAACTCCTCCAACTACCACAACCACCCCTCTTCCAACTACAATGACAACTACAATTTCTACAACTACCACAACCACCCCTCTGCCAACTACAACCAAAACCACAACTACTACCCCTCCAACTACCACAACCACCCCTCTGCCAACTACAACAACAACTACAACTCCTCCAACTACCACTACCACCCCTCTGCCAACTACAACCACAACTACAACTCGTCCAACTACCACAACCACCCCTCTGCCAACTACAACAACTACAACTCCTCCAACTACTACTACCACCGCTCCGCCAACTACAACCACAACTACAACTCGTCCACCAACCACAACCACCCTTCTGTCAACTAAAACCACAACTACAACTCCTCCAATTACCACTACCACCGCTGTGGCAACTACAACAACAACTACCACAACCACAACTCTGCCAGCGACAACAACAACTACAGTTCCCCCAACTACTTCAACTGTAGCTCCAGCTTCCTCAACCACCACTCCCCTCGGATTAGATGGAACACTCAAGAATAGATGTTCTGCATTCCCTAAACCAACAACTACAGCTCTGCCAACTACCACTACCACCTCTCTACCAACTACAATGACAACTACAGCTTCTGCAACTACCACAACAATGACAACTACCACTCCTCCAACTACTACAACTTCAGCTCCTCCAACTACCACAACTACAACTACAGCTCCTCCAACTGCTACAACCACAACCACCCCTCTCCCAACTACAACGACAACTAAATCACCAGTGTCAGTAACAACAACGTCATCCACAAGTGGAGGAGTAGTGAATCCAACACCATCAAACAGAAGTGCAGCAGTAACAGCAGCTACAGCTGCTGGTGTGGCATCAACAGCAGCAACAGCAGCAGCAACAGCTGCAGCTGCAGCAGCAGCAGCAGCTGCATCCACAACCAATAGGACCTTGGCTCAGCAAGCCTATAATGCATCTGTGGAAGCTCTCAAAGCTGCTCAAGAGGCAGCAAGACAGGCTCAGGCATTACTAAACGGAACAGGAACACTAACAGATACAATACAAGCAGCTCAGCTGGCAGCACAGAAAGCACTTGAGGCATCCCAGGCAGCAGAGCAGGCATCACAGACAACCCCTGCATCACTGACCCAATTTTCAGAAAACATTCTGGAAGCAACTGCTAATGCAACAAAGGCAGCCCTTAAGGCAGCTGAAGCAGCTAATAATGTGTCTTCTTTAACTCCTGAAAGCCTACAAGCAGCAAATGCAGCCATGAATGAGTCAGCAATAGCATCACAACAAGCAGCCAAGGCTATGTTAGCAGCTCTAGAACAAAATATTACTGAGCCACTTGACCCAATATTAAAAACATTTATAGTTGATGCAGCAAAGAATGCCGAAAATAGTGCTGGTTTAAACCAAATTGCTGTTGAAATGGCAGCAAAGTGTTTAACAGCAAACACTACAGAACATGCACAACAACTATCAAATGAGGCTTTGGCATTAATACAAAACATATTTACTTCAGCAACTAGTGCAGCTGACAATGCATATAAAGCTATAACATATGTTCCTACCACGCCATCACCTACAAAATCTCCTGCAGAGATAAGGAATGCCATAGCCGCAGCAGCATCAGTAGCATCTATAGCATCAAATGCTGCAGCAGCTGCAGGAGCCACAGCAGCCACAGTCGCATCAGCCTCCACTGGACCACTTGCTGACAAAGCAAGGATCGCTGCAGAAGAAGCAATCAAGGCTGCTGAAGAGGCAGCGAGAATGGCCCAAGCGGTACTCAATGGGACCGTTCCACCAGAGGAAGCCATACAAGCAGCTAAAATTGCAGCACAAAAAGCACAGGAGGCGTCTTTGGCAGCAAAACAAGCAGCAGAGGCTCTCCCAGATTCAATGGCACCATTTAGGGAGAGAATTCTTGAAGCATCTGTCAATGCAACAGAATCAGCTCAAAAGGCAGCCCAGGCAGCAAACAACGTATCTACAATAACTCCTGAAAGTCTGAATGCAGCAGCTACAGCTATGACTGCTTCAGCAATCGCAGCAGAAAAAGCCCTCACAGCGTTACTATCTGCTGTACAACAAAATATGACCGTACCCCTTGACCCCAAATTAGAAGGATATGTGTCATCAGTAGCTGAGAATGCCACACAAACTGCAAACAAATCCATAACTGCAGTGGAAAAAGCAGTTGCCTCCTTAACAGCAAACACAACAGAAGGGGCAAACCGTCTGTCAAACGAAGCTATTAATTCAGTTAAAGATGCCAATAATTCAACAAACCAAACCATTGAGTCTGCTGCAAACATATTATCAACAACATCCTCTGCAGAGATAAGGGCTGCCAGAGCCACGGCAGCAGCAGCAGCATCTATAGCATCAAATGCTGCAGCAGCTGCAGGAGCCACAGCAGCCACAGTCGCATCAGCCTCCACTGGACCACTTGCTGACGGAGCAAGGATCGCTGCAGAAGAAGCAATCAAGGCTGCTGAAGAGGCAGCGAGAATGGCCCAAGCAGTACTCAATGGAACTGTTCCACCGGAGGAAGCCATACGAGCAGCTAAAATTGCAGCACAAAAAGCACAGGACGCATCTTTGGCAGCAAAACAAGCAGCACAGGCTCTCCCAGATTCAATGGCACCATTTAGGGAGAGAATTCTTCAAGCGTCTGCCAATGCAACAGAAGCAGCTCTCAAAGCAGCCCAGGCAGCAAACAACGTATCTACAATAACTCCTGAAAGTCTGAATGCATCAGCCTCAGCCATGAATGATTCAGCAATCGCAACAGAAAAAGCCCTCACAGCATTACTATCTGCAGTACAACAAAATATGACTGTACCCCTTGACCCCAAAATAGAAGAATATGTGTCATCAGTAGCTGAGAATGCCACACAAACCGCAAACAAATCCATAACTGCAGTGGAAAAAGCAGTTGCCTCCTTAACAGCAAACACAACAGAAGTGGCAAACCGTCTGTCAAACGAAGCTATTAATTCAGTTAAAGATGCCAATAATTCAACAAACCAAACCATTGAGTCTGCTGCAAACATATTATCAACAACATCCTCTGCAGAGATAAGGGCTGCCAGAGCCACGGCAGCAGCAGCAGCATCTATAGCATCAAATGCTGCAGCAGCTGCAGGAGCCACAGCAGCCACAGTCGCATCAGCCTCCACTGGACCACTTGCTGACAAAGCAAGGATCGCTGCAGAAGAAGCAATCAAGGCTGCTGAAGAGGCAGCGAGAATGGCCCAAGCAGTACTCAATGGAACTGTTCCACCGGAGGAAGCCATACGAGCAGCTAAAATTGCAGCACAAAAAGCACAGGACGCATCTTTGGCAGCAAAACAAGCAGCACAGGCTCTCCCAGATTCAATGGCACCATTTAGGGAGAGAATTCTTCAAGCGTCTGCCAATGCAACAGAAGCAGCTCTCAAAGCAGCCCAGGCAGCAAACAACGTATCTACAATAACTCCTGAAAGTCTGAATGCATCAGCCTCAGCCATGAATGATTCAGCAATCGCAACAGAAAAAGCCCTCACAGCATTACTATCTGCAGTACAACAAAATATGATTGTACCCCTTGACCCCAAAATAGAAGAATATGTGTCATCAGTAGCTGAGAATGCCACACAAACCGCAAACAAATCCATAACTGCAGTGGAAAAAGCAGTTGCCTCCTTAACAGCAAACACAACAGAAGTGGCAAACCGTCTGTCAAATGAAGCTATTAATTCAGTTAAAGATGCCAATAATTCAACAAACCAAACCATTGAGTCTGCTGCAAACATATTATCAACAAAATCTCCTGCAGAGATAAGGAATGCCAGAGCCACGGCAGCAGCAGCAGCATCTATAGCATCAAATGCTGCAGCAGCTGCAGGAGCCACAGCAGCCACAGTCGCATCAGCCTCTACTGGACCACTTGCTAACGGAGCAAGGATCGCTGCAGAAGAAGCAATCAAGGCTGCTGAAGAGGCAGCGAGAATGGCCCAAGCAGTACTCAATGGGACCGCTTCACCAGAGGAAGCTATACAAGCAGCTAAAATTGCAGCACAAAAAGCACAGGAGGCGTCTTTGGCAGCAAAACAAGCAGCAGAGGCTCTCCCAGATTCAATGGCACCATTTAGCGAGAGAATACTTCAAGCGGCTGCCAATGCAACAGAATCAGCTCTCAAAGCAGCCCAGGCAGCAGAAAATGTATCTACAATAACTCCTAAAAGTTTGGACGCCGCAGCCTCAGCCATGAAAGATTCAGTGATCTCAGCAGAAAAAGCCCTCACAGCATTACTATCTGCAGTACAACAAAATATGATTGTACCCCTTGACCCCAAAATAGAAGAATATGTGTCATCAGTAGCTGAGAATGCCACACAAACCGCAAACAAATCCATAACTGCAGTGGAAAAAGCAGTTGCCTCCTTAACAGCAAACACAACAGAAGTGGCAAACCGTCTGTCAAACGAAGCTATTAATTCAGTTAAAGATGCCAATAATTCAACAAACCAAACCATTGAGTCTGCTGCAAACATATTATCAACAAAATCCCAAGCAGTGATAAGGGCAACCGCAGCTGCGGCAGCATCAGCAGCAAAGATAGCAGCAAATGCTGCAGCAGCTGCAGGAGCCACAGCAGCCACAGTCGCATCAGCCTCTACTGGACCACTTGCTAACGGAGCAAGGATCGCTGCAGAAGAAGCAATCAAGGCTGCTGAAGAGGCAGCGAGAATGGCCCAAGCAGTACTCAATGGGACCGCTTCACCAGAGGAAGCTATACAAGCAGCTAAAATTGCAGCACAAAAAGCACAGGAGGCGTCTTTGGCAGCAAAACAAGCAGCAGAGGCTCTCCCAGATTCAATGGCACCATTTAGCGAGAGAATACTTCAAGCGGCTGCCAATGCAACAGAATCAGCTCTCAAAGCAGCCCAGGCAGCAGAAAATGTATCTACAATAACTCCTAAAAGTTTGGACGCCGCAGCCTCAGCCATGAAAGATTCAGTGATCTCAGCAGAAAAAGCCCTCACAGCATTACTATCTGCAGTACAACAAAATATGACTGTACCCCTTGACCCCAAATTAGAACGATATGTGTCATCAGTAGCTGAGAATGCCGCACAAACCGCAAACAAATCCATAACTGCAGTGGAAAAGGCAGCTGCCTCCTTAACAGCAAACACAACAGAAGAGGCCAACCGTCTGTCAAATGAAACTATTAATTCAGTTAAAGATGCCAGTAATTCAGCAAACCAAACCATTGAATTTGCTGCAAAAATATTATCAACAAAATCCCCTGCAGAGATAAGAGCTGCCAGAGCTGCAGCAGCAGCAGCAGCATCTGTAGCATCAAATGCTGCAGCAGCTGCAGGAGCCACAGCAGCCACAGTCGCATCAGTCTCCACTGGACCACTTGCTGACAAAGCACAGGATCACTGCAGAAGAAGCAATCAAGGCTGCTGAAGAAGCAGCGAAAATTGCCGAAGCAGTACTCAATGGAACCGTCCCACCAGAGGAAGCCATACGAGCAGCTCAAATTGCAGCACAAAAAGCACAGGAGGCATCTTTGGCAGCAAAGGAAGCAGCAGTGGCTCTCCCAGATTCAATGGCACCTTTTACTAACAAAATTCTTGAAGCATCTGCCAATGCAACAGAAGCAGCTCTCAAAGCAGCCCAGGCAGCAAACAATGTATCTACAATAAGTCCTGAAAGTTTGAATGCAGCTGCTGCAGCCATAGGTGAATCAGCAATCGTGTCAGGAAAAGCCCTCAGAGCCTTGTATGCTGCACTGCAACAAACATCTGTTCAATCAATTGATGCAAAAACATTAAAAGATGCTTTAATCGCATTTGAAATAGCATCAAATCTGGTTGCAAAAACCACACCAGAAGCGAAGACTGCAGTAGATAAGGCAGCTGCTTCTATCAAAGCAGCAACTCCAGATGAAGCAGAGCAACTGGGGAATGAAGCAATTGCCTCAGCAAGAGAATCCTTAAAATCAGCTTACGGAGGTGTCAGTTTGGCCAACACAACATCAGGCCTCACACCGTCTATGAAAGACTCAACAATAAGATCTACAACATCAGCAGCAGCCTCAGCTGCAGCCGCTGCAGCATCAACTGCAGCCTGCTGCAGCAGCCTCTATTTCCACTGCTGCAGGAGCAACAGCATCTCCCAAAGCAGAGTTAGCCATGAAAGCAGCAAGGGAAGCAGCTAAGGTAGCAGCCTTAGTGGCAAACGGAGAGAGAACACCAGATGAGGCAGCACAAGCAGCACTGGAAGCGGCCAACAAAACTTTACTGGCAGTTGAGGCTGCAAAACTAGAAGCCTCTGAAGTACCTGCACCTTTGAAGAATGTGGCTGCTGAACTTTTAACCATTGCCTTACAATTAGCACAGGCAGCTAAAGAGGCAGCACAAGCAGCACAACTAGCCACCACTGGGACAGATGAAGCAATTAATGGAGCAGCTGATGCAGAGACACAGGTCGCGCAAAGGTCTGCAGAGGCAGCTGATTCTTTGGGTAGAATATTAAGTTCTCTGCCAGCTACAGATGGAGCACGTGCAACAGAGCTTTCCATCTCAGCAACACAAACAGTGGCACAAATGAGTGAAGTAACCGCACTGGCAGCTAGAGCTGCAACAGGTGTCACACAAACAGACACAGCTGGCATCATGTTAGAGTCTGCAAAAGCAGCAGCTACAGCTGCAGAAGCCAGTGCAATTGCAGCAGAAGTTGCACTTCCACGGTGGAACATTACTGATTCCACACCAACACCCACAACTCCAGCACCTGTAATAACAACAGATCAATCAGCAGTATCAACATCTACCTCAGCAGCAGCTGCAGCCACTGCATTAGCAGCAGCCACAGCTTCAGCAGCAGGAGCACCACATCAGGAAGTATTAGCGGCCGTGACCGCAGCTCAAGTTGCAGCTGACGCAGCCTCGGCTGTGGCAAATGGAACTCAACCTTTGACAGTGGCTGCGATAGCTGCCAGAAATGCAGCTGATGCTGCAGAGAGGGTTGTGAATGCTGCAAGAGCAACTGTCACTACATCTGAAGGAACAAAGTTAATTGAGGTAGCAAACCAAGCAGCACTATCAGCCAGGAGGGCAGCAGAAGCAGCAGCAAGAGCAAGTGTAGATTCTGCAACACTAGAAGAGGTGATTGAAACTGCAAACGCAGCCAGGACAGTGAGAGAAGCTGCAGCTACAACACTGGAGGTACTGGCAGGATCCATTCAAAGTCAGAATGCTGAAATACAAAGAATAAAACAAGTCGCACAAATTGTGGCAGATATGACAGAAGCAACAGCCATTGCATCAGAAACTGCAGCTAATGCTGTATTAGCAAACTCAATTGAGCTAAATACACCAACCACTAAATCTGCAACCAGAGCAGCTCAGGCTGCAGCAAGGGCTTCGTATGAAGCATTACCAAGAACATCAGATAATGGCAACATGGGTACATCTACACCAACAACTGATGACCCTAATGGAGGCACACAAATAGCCTTGGCGAAAGCTCAGGAAGGTGCAGTGGTTGCATCCGCAGCAGCAGCAGCAGCGGCAGCAGCTACAACCTCAGCAGCAGCAGCATCTGTAGGACCAAGTGCTCAACCGGCAGCAGAAGCAGCTGCAGCAGCAGCCAAGGCTGCAGCCAGAGCCGCTGAACTCGTGGCTCTTGGATTAGCTCCTTTAAACATGGCTGTGGATGCAGCAAGAGTTGCATCGAATGCAGCTCAAGAAGCAGCAAGTGCTGCCTTAAGAGCGGCCGACACATTACCTCCTTCCCAGTCACTGAAAGTAGCAGAAAAAGCAGCCATAGCTTACACCAGTGCCCAAGCGGCTAACACAGCTGCTGAAGCTGCAGCAAAAGCAGCAGCAAATTCCCCAACAAGGGAGACACTGACAAATTCTGCTGATGCAGCGCGATCTGTGTCTACAGCATCAATTCAAGGAGCTGCACAACTCCAGGACATTATATCAAGTACACCAGCCTTAAATTCAAGAGATCAAGCCATTCTTCAAGATATCAAGGCTGTGGCTCAAATGGCCCAAGCTACAGGAGTAGCAGCTGAAATTGTGTCAGAGACTGCACTGACAGGCTTAACAAATGAAAACATTGCAAATATGGTGGATACACTATCTTCAACAGCATATTCAGCAGCCCTGGCTGCTTCAGCGACCACTTCAGCAGCTGAGGCGGCTCTGCTGTCGATAGCATCTGCAAGTGCTGATGGAACTAACAATGGAGCCTCAACAACAACCACAACAACAGCGACGGGCAGTGGAGGCGGCCAGACAACAGCAGCAGCACCAGTCAACAAAATGAGTCTCTTTTCTGTCACAATAGCTCTTACTGCGCTTGTCCTTCTATAATCCAAATGATTTAATAATGTGTATATACATGTAAATTATTTACATTATTTATTATTCTTTATTTATTGTGTGAATGAGAACTAAAATCCTTGATGGATGTTTTCAGATGTGTTACTGTGATTGAACAAGTAAAGAAAATAATACAGTATATAACGCCCGTTTTATTGTGCAGTTACAGTTGTAATTTGTAAATTTATAAACCACTGTTAAGTCTAATAATTGTAGCAATATTAAATAAAAATACTCAACTGCTTTAACAATGTTGTCTGAGCATTTACTTTATCACAGTTATCTAACAACATGCATTATTTTACAGAGATAATCATGACTTACAATTACTACAACATAAAACCCTTCATAGAACTCATCGAACACAAAATCGATTGCACCTGTTCATAGCCAACAGACTCTCCACCATCTCAAAGCAGAAGCCTATTTAAGACCCTGTATTACACTAAATTGCTATTAGAGCTTTAAGTCATCGTAGTGGCGTTAACAGCAACTATTTACCTTTAATTCAATAAAGATCAGATATTCCTGAAATCTTCCAAAGGATTCTTGTGAAAGTGTATGGATTTTAAAAACACGGTGTTGGACTTTCTGTGTATTACCACGTGACATAACAAGGTGGAAAAGAGTGTTTTCAGTTTGAGAAAATAACTCAACCTAAACATGCAGGGTTTGTGTGTTAAACATATGCGAGTGAAACAAAACACCAAATTATAACATAGATTAAGATAGGCCCTCTTTAAACTCACTCATTGCAGTAGTAAGTTGTTCATTTCAGTAATTTTCAACACTTTTTTTCGACAAAACTGTATTTACTATACACTGCAGTGGTTAATGAAAGGGGTAGGTTATTTATCTCAACCAAAATAAATCTAAATCTCTTACTGACCCTTTAAGTGAAACACAAAAATGTATCATACAAGTTGTCTGTGATAAACCTGGGGGTGTCTTTGCGTTTGGGTGGACTGCTTTGCACCAATCAGTTCAGTCCAATCCACTTTATTTAAACAGCACATTTCACAAACAGTGCCGCACAAATACATACTAATAACAACAATAATAATATAATGATAAAATAAACGCTTGGGTTTAATCATACTCATCCTAAAACAATAAAAACAGAGGACCACACAACTCACGCGCTGTTAAAAGCCACAGAATAAAAGACGAGACTTAAAACTCTCCACTGTGGGGGTTGTTCCGATGTGGGCGGGCAGAGTGTTCCAGAGTTTGGGGCTGGCGATAGAGGAAACCTGGTCCCATGAGTTGGAGCTGGACCTTGGACCTCAGAGGGTGTAAATTTGGAGGAGGTTCGAGATGTAACGTGGGGCAAGTCCGTTCAAAGCTTTAAAAACAAACAATAAAATCTTAAAATCAATCTTATCAATCTTACCATCTATAATACATCGCAAAAATCAAAGGTTTACTGTCTAAAGCAGACTTGGAGAGACTTATCCACGCGTTTGTCTCCAGTAGGTTAGATACTGTAATGGTCTGATCACTGGTCTCTCCAAACGAGCTGTGAGACGCTGCAGAACATCCAGAACGCTGCAGCTCGGGTCCTGACTCGAACTAGGATGTACGAGCACATAAGTCCTGGTCTCAGGTCTCTGCACTGGCCCCTGTGGCTCAGAGACTTTAAAGCAGCTCTGTTTGTACAAGTCTCTCCATGACCGAGCACTAAAATCATGTGAGACAGACTCGACTTTGACTCTGTTTAAATCCAGGCTCAAAACTGTTCTTTTTCACTGTGCATATGGCTGAAAGGTTTTCATTCCGCACTCTTCTCTCTAATTTATGTCTCTCTTTTTTTATTTTAATCTATATGATTATTTATGTTTTGATTTGTTTTTATTGCGATTTTAATGTATTTCTTGATTTGTAAAGCACTTTTGAATTACTTTGTGTACAAATTGTGCAATACAAATAAACTTGCCGTCCCTAATGTGCTCTTTTCTTTTGGTTCCCGTTAAATATCGCGCCACAGATAATAATACAGTAATATCGTGGACCATCAAAATAAATCGAATTACATGTCTCTTTGCTTAAATTAAGAGTTATGGTGCAGTGATAATAAAAAAAGACAGAGGCAACTACATAGGCCATGATCCTTTGCTCCATTTCAGTGCAGATGACAAGAGGAAATAACAGTTCTAACACTTTCAAGTCTTTAAGTCCACTAAATATCGTAATGTGAGATGTATATTGTAAAAATATTGTACAGAGAGATTTGGATATTGTTACATCCCTAATCGTGAGACTCCCCAACATATCGTGAGCTTCCCCACGATATCACAATAAATATCATACCGTGAGGTTCATACCATGACGATATCGTATCGTGAGACTTGGATATTGTTACAACTCTAGTAGTCGGTAAAGTACATTTTGAGATGTTGGAATAAAGTACCCTGATTCATCAGCCGGTTTCACTTCGTGGAAACTGTCTGACCTCGCAGCATTAAGATTTGTTCGCTCGACAGTAGATGGTACTTTTTTAATTAACCAATTGCTGCTATTTGTTTCTGTTTGTTTCCTATAGGAAGAAGGGCAATAATGTCTTTCCTCTTGATAAAATTCACCAAACATTCCCTTTGTTCCGGCTTTAAATCCTCGATCTTGTGAATCGTTGCCAACACAGAATGTATGTCTTCGTCTATATCCATCTCAATGCTTTGTTTACTGTTTACTGTGCTGTTCCACAAAAGGGACCCAGACAGACGCCACGAGTTTGACGTCATGGCTTCACAGCTTTTCGCTGATTGGCCGGTGCCAACTTCCAGGTGTCAGCTTACTCCTGGAGGCAACCTGAACAGAAAGTCTTAAAAAGAGTCCATGAGAGTTAAAGTAGTTCACAGACATGTCTCTTTATTGGTTCAAGCAGGTACAGGTCCCCGATTCAAGTTGATTTACATGATTCAGCTACACGGCATCTCTTCACGTCATCCCTTGACAAAGTCCCCTTAGACGACGTCCCCCAATTCTAACTATACACAGAAAAAACAGGTGCCTTTAAACTAGCTATCTGACTGCATAATTTGTTGATTTAGCATTTTCAGTAAAAACATACACAGCAATTTTGACCCGACATGTGTGCGGTACATATTATCATGGAATATATGGTATAGGTTCAAGGTTCAGACCCACCCCTTTGCTGTCTCACATACACTCAAAGTTCATACATGATCATATCCCATCCCAGTGACACTTCAACGTTCAAACATCGCACTACTTCTATATTGCATGGTGAATTAACATGAATGAAACATTAAAAACACAGAGAATGATTCCCACACAGGATTCTTGCAAACTGTCTAGTGTATTCCGATTTCTGACCTAATCGCTGGAGATAAATGAAATAGAGCGGAGACACTGGGTGGCAAGGAATAAAGTGCTTCCAGGCGTGATAAAATAAAAGCGTGCATGACTTGTTCAAAGAGTTTAAAAGATAAAAAATGGTTTGCCTTTGGATAAAAGCTGCACTTGATTTTAAAACATCATTGATCTGCTTGACAAATTTAAAATCACATGCGCCAACAACCGCTCTTTTCTTTGTGGACTCAACAGTAACCGCAGTGACCTTATCATTTCTCATTCTTTTTTCCCCAGACATTCAGAAAAATAAATTATATAAAACATTTTGAAATCTTGCGTAATCAGCTATGTGGTGACTCATAACCACAAAACCTATAATTGTTATTCAGAATCTGTTTCTGAGACTTTATAAACTGCTAAATTATTGAAACGTGTAACCAGATTAACTGTTCACGTCACCCTAAAATGTGGAGGAAGGGTCTTGCTAGAAGATCACTGTAGCTTTTTTTTTATCTTGCAAAGGTAACACATACCACATGGAAAAACAACAATGGAGATCTGATTCATAAGATGATGGTGCACCGAGAAAAAAGAAAAGGAGCTGTGTCATTGAGGTACATATTTTTGGCATATGGTTATTACTGTTGCACCAATCCATCACCAAGCCCATTTTGTTGTATTGTTCCACCTGCTTTTTTTCAATACACTCACTGGTAAAAACCGGTCTAAACTCACAAAGGGAACACACACACATGCTGCTAAAATCACAGGGCTCCCCACACCCAGCCTTGAAGATCTTAACAACAGGGACATCGTACAGAAGCCGAGAGGGGTCACAACAACCGCAAATGCCCCAACAAATACAAATGCGACACAACAAAAAGCCACAACACACCAAAAAAAGCCACAACGGAAATGACCGCAAGACTCTAATTTAATGCAAACGCCGCAACAAATACAAACACCACAACACAAACGCAAATGCCACAGCACATTAAAAAGCCACAACACATTAAAAAGCCACAACACATCAAAAAGCCACATCGGAAGTGACCGCGGGACTCTATTTTCCGACGGAACGATCAAGCGGCAATTGAAGAAGAAGAACTACAATGTGAAACGAATAATGATAAAACAGTAAATTACTTTTACTTACGTTTCCAACTTCTCCGTTCCTTTACTTTTCACATTGTAGTTCTTTTTCTTCACTTGCCGCTTGATCGGTCCGTCGGAAAATAGAGTCCCGCGGTCGCTTCCGTTGTGGCTTTTGATGTGTTGTGGCTTTTTAATGGGTTGCGGCTTTTGTGTTTGTGTTGTGGCATTTGTATTTGTTGCGGCGTTTGCATTAAAATACAGTTCCGCTGTCATTTCCGTTGTGGCTTTTTTTGGTTTGTTGTGGCTTTTTGTTATGTTGTCGCATTTGTATTTGTTGTGACGTTTGCGTTTGTTGTGACCCCTCTCGGCTTCTGTACCATCGGGTGCATTGCAATCTCCATAGAACAGAACCCCACTCACTCCTACAGCAGGAGTCACCAAACTTTTTACTCTGGGGGCCACATTACCTGACTGTGATGGGGGCCAGGGCTGGGTAGGCTGACGAAGGAATACATGGTGTCGAGCAGCCAGTTCGCCTTTCATCCGACGAATCTTATCTTCTCTCATTTGCCCCTGCAAGCTATGGTACTCTTGGTGGCGAGTTTCGTAGTGACTAGGGATGGGAACGATTAGTCGACTAATCGATAACTGATCATTAAGAATTTCGTCGATTATGTTCATTTTTAATCGACAAACCGAATGTAGGTTTCCGTGCATAAACACGAAGCTGCGTCTGACACAAACACTGGAGTTGCAACGTATAATGTCAAACGGGTTAATGTGGCTCTCAAGTGGTTATGATTTATAATATATTTATAATAATAATGAAGATAATTTTAATATAAAAATGTTAATGATTAATCGAAAATTGATCGTTAATTCTCCCGACGATCGATTAATAAAATTTCATCGAATGCCCATCCGTAGTAGTGACAACACAGATTATATTTTTTGAAAACCGTCACACTTTCTTTACATATCGGACAAACAGCACGGTTCTTACACTGAACAAAAAAATAATCGGTCGTCCACTGTTCTTTGAAAACTCAGCACTCTCTGTCAAGTTTTTGTACTTTAACACTTGCCTTTTTTCTGGGTACAGAACTCTGCGTGTGCATTGAACATCACCGTTTGATCTCGAGCTTGTCAGGAGACGAAAAATTTGGCAGCAAAAATACTTCATATAATCATTTAAATATAAATTAAAAATGATATTTATGTGAAATAATTGAAAAAAAAAATCAACAAACTACAAGATGCAGATGTGTTATTATTTGCCAAAAAGTAAAAGGATTGCCTCATAGGGCCAGTTCAGGTGGTGCGGGGCAGAGGGGCTGGGGGGCCGGTCAAAGGGGAGTGGCGGGCCAGGGTCGGTCCGTGGGCCTTAGTTTGATGACTCCTGCCCTACAGGAACACCTCACCCCTCTGCCCACAGGACGGAGGTACGGGTCGCTCAGGTGGAGGGGGGCCCACTTTGGCAGAAGCCTGATCCCCTCGGCTGTCACAGTTTTGAACAACAGGCCCCATTGTGTGTACTGTAATGTCTGTTGTATTGTGTGTGTATTTGTTGCGCTGTGTTGTTGCTGTATATAAGTCAAACGAGCTCTGTGTGTGTGAAAATGACTCTCTCCTTGGGGACAATAAGTCCAAAAAGTACATTGTTAATTCATTTATGAAATGGTTAAAACAGAGGCTAGAGTCTCTACACTTGTGCTTGTCAAACACAATATTTACAGCATCAGAAGTTGTAGAATTTTGCTCATCAACAAAATAGAGAATAACATGGCTTTGTTCACACTGCAGGCCAGGTCCGATTTTTTTTTTTTTTTTTTTTTTTCAGAGGTGGAACATAGCAAAGTAAAACTACTGTACTTAAGTAAATAAGTGGAATAGTTTTAACTTTTATTTCATTACATTTGAGAGCAGGTATCTGTACTTTCTACTCCACTACATTCTTGAACAAAGCTGGGAAGTTAAAGGTTTTTTTGTTTTTTAGTTGTTTCTGCTGAACAAAATTCAGCACAAATCTGTATTTAAGGTGACATTTTTACTCCCCCCCTCTTTACTTAAGCAACAAAATTGAATACTTCTTCCACCACTGCCCATAATGTGACCTGTATCTGATTTTTCATGTTGGTATGACCAGCTCCATTTTTCCTGAGTTATTTAATTTGATTTTTTTTTCTAATCTGACCCAGGCCTCATTCGTATGTTGTCATAAATGCGATATACATCTGATATGACTGCAGTCTGAATGCTCACGTCTTTATCTTCACATCATCCGTGGTTTGACACTGTGTGCAAGCTCCTGTTGACAGCCTGTACAGCCCAAGAGTTCACAGCAGAGCAGCTTTTGATTTTAAAAAGGCCTAAGAAAACATGCAATGCAAAACAAAGGAAATGTTGATGTATTTTATTATTCTTTAAATTCTCTTTTAGCATATTTGTTACGGGTGTAACGATATCCAAGTCTCACGATACGATATCGTCACGGTACGAACCTCACGGTACGATATTTATTGTGATATCATGGGAAAGCTCACGATATGGTGGGCAGGCTCACGATTAGAGATGTAACAATATCCAAATCTCTTGGTACAATATTTATTGCGATATTTTGTGGAGGCTAATGTGCTACTTTTTCCTCTTAAAATGCCTTGACAAGACTTAATCCAAAGAATTAAGACTTAAAACTGTTATTTCTTCTTGTAGTCTGCACTGAAATGGAGCAAAGGATCATGGTCTATGTAGTTCCCTCTGTCTTTTTTAGCTATTGCTGCACCATAACTCTTCATTTAAGCAAAGAGACTTGTAATTCGATATATTGTGATGGTCCATGATATTACTGTGAGAACTTTGATGATACGATATCACTATATTTCAGTTATTGTTACATCCCTAATATTTATTTATCAAATACCGCAGCTCTAGTCAGAAATGGGTAATGTGAACATTTATTTACAACATGACACACAACACACAACACACACTAAAATAAATAAAATAAAATCAGTTTTGAATGTGAAACTGCATTTTCCACTGTGTTGAAAAAAAAAAAAAAAAAAATAATCATCATCATCATAATGTGTGAAGAATCCCTCAGTCGTCTAGGGAGAATCCATGGCGAGGAGAAAAAATAAAATAAAATAAAATAAATAAATAAATAAAAAATAATAATAATAATGTGTGAAGAATCCCTCAGTCGTCCAGGTAGAATCCATGACGAGGAGAAAAAATAAAATTAAGTAAAAATTAATAATAATAAAAAAAAAAAAAATAATAATAATAATAATAATATTATTATTATTATTATTATTATTATATTATTATTATTATTATTAAGAAGAAGAAGAAGAAGAAGCGCCAAAGTGTGACAAAGGATTGAAATAACTGTAAACCCGCTGAAACCAGGGGCGCGTCCGATTTCTCTTTACTCGCTCCGACTTCTCAGCTCACGATCCAATCAGCGAAGAGCGAGAGCCGCGGAGGACAGGCGCAGCTCGCATCCGATTGGTCGAACAGCACAACCTCGCTTCCTATTGGCTCTCTCGCCTCTGACGCAGCGGGGTCGGAGCCGCGGACGCGAGCCGCGAGAAATGGGACGCGGCCCGGGGTTTTGTCGTCGCGAGAGCGGAGCTTCCGGCAATAGTCGAAGAAAGATGGCCAGTGTCACCCCCGCTAGCCCACGGATTCTCACAGTTTAATCCCCTTTTTACTGCCTTCACCCAGAGCCAGTGCGACGTATAAGCACGTCTGTGTGGAGAAAAGCAGCCTTTGAAGCGCGCCCCGTTACGCGCAGATTGCTTTTTGGGGGAGGGGGTTCTCTGCCCCGTCAGCTGTCCGTCAACAGTCCGGGTAAGTGTCGCCTCTGCCCCCGTGTTTTCTAAAGTCTCCAGCGCCCACCGACCAAACCCTTTTCACAACACGAGGAAACCCGAAATATTACCTATTGTTTACTTAGTTGTCCGTACTGTGGGACTCTGGCGATGCAACTGCGCACACTCGGTACCGACAGCTGACCGGGGCAAACTAGTTCCGAAGTAGAGGTGGTACCCCGCTGTAACGGTACCGGTGTTTCTGTAGTGATTATAAAGCTATTCACGAGCATAATATCAATCATAACTACTATATTTTCTTAGTTTTGATCAAAATTAACGTCAAAAATTGTCCTTCCATCTTCTTTTAAACGTTCTATATGACGCAAAATGGATTCCTGCGAGCTTTAAGTCGTGTTATAATGTTGTTACAAACCTCAAAAACACACCTGGACTTTGTGTTTTGGGGTTTTTGTTTCATTCACACATGTTTGAGTACTACTGGATTATCAGTCTCCAAAACTGGACTAAGAACAGGCCTGATATTATAGAATGATCATGCAGATATTTGGTAAAAGGTAGGGGTGTAACGATATCGAAATCTCACGGTACGATATCGTCGCGGTATGAATCTCACAGTACGATATTTATTGGGATATCGTGGGAAAAGCTCACGATATGGCGGGGAGGCTCACGCTTAGAGAAGTAACAATATCCAAATGTGTCGGTACAATATTTTCACAATATACAAATCACGGTACGATATTTATTGCGATATTTTGTGGAGGCTAAACAGCTGAAATTGTTAATATGCTACTTTTTCCTCTTAACTCTTTCCCCCGTGAAGACGACATTTGACGACCCGCCTTGTTTCCTTAATGACGTCTTTTGACACCTCCGCTGTATCACTGAAGACGTGATTTGACGACCATTACAAACGGTTCCTGTTTTTCACATGTATACAGAGGCAGTGATAGGTCGGGGCCACTACATCTCATACTTGGCTGACCAATAGGCTTCAAGGATGTGTTTTCGCTGATTTTATTTTATTTTTTACAAAGTTAATCAAAATACGACGATTGTAGCTTTTGGAAAAAACACAACACGAAACACGGCGTGCACTTTTTCAAATAATGAGGAGCCGACATATTTTATGGATAACTTTGGAGAAAGTGATTTTTTATACTGTTTCTGGTGATATAAAATCTGTTTAAACCCTTTGACAAATATATTTTTACATTTTTTCATGAATATAGTATTCAGAACATCCATATATCAGATGCTGAATGTAGTTTTTTGTTTTCGATTTTGCACCTGAGCAGGTAAACTCTCATATTCAGTGAGCTGTTATAAACCTGTAAATGAGTTGAATCACATTTAAACATAAATAAATGTTTTGTTCAGAGTCTGAGGTTTCCAGAGATACCAAATATGTCTGTGTTTCAGTAAAGTTTGTGAGTGTGAAAATCATTTATAATCACTCGTGGACGTCTTTTCTTTTATGCCATTATGCTCTATGTGTAGCCCTAGTAATATATGGATGGGATGTTCCTCGTTGGTGTCCAAGGGGGAAAGAGTTAAAATGCCTTGACAAGACTTAATCCAAAGACTTAAAAGTTCACAGATTTGAACACAATCTATACGATCCATTTGTTGAACTTGGGCTTTATTATCATATCACGTGACTTCATCTGAACTCCATCTGTCTCTTTTTGTTGTTTGCTTCTCCGCAGGTTCGTCAAACTCCGCTGGGGAAGACATGGCAGCTCCCGTGAACATCCAAACTCCGAGTAAAACCTGGGAGTTAAGTCTGTACGAGCTGCACAGGAGTCCACAGGTGAGCGATCGCGCACTAATACAATAATCCGCCTGTCGTTGTGTAACACAGGCCTCTACATGATACAGCAATTCTCCAGATGCCATAAATTGTCACGTATACTTTCCCCGCAAGCGTCGCCTGAAGCCGCAGCCGCCCCAGGGCAAACAGCCAATCGCCGCTTCAACAGTGATCACACACACACACACTCTTCATTCATACACAGACAATGGATAAGGTGCTTTGCTCAAGGACACAAGGACACAGCAACAGTATGCCCTGGCTGGATAGTATTACCACACTGTCCCACAAAGGCCAAAAGGTCAAAAATGAGTTAATGTCCTTTAGCATGTGAATAAATATTGTGAAAACTAGGGCTGGGCGATATGGATCAAAAAATATATCTCCATATATTTTGCTATATCTTGATATACGATATATATCTCGATATATGTTCAAGAAAAAAATAATCCCCTAAAACTGAAAACTGCAAAAACAAATATGTCAAATTCCACAAGATCTTTTTTTTTTTTTATTGAAGTGTAAGAGGTCAGCAGTTCATATAGGAACATTTAAGATTACAAAAACCACTAATTACATAAATAGAAATTTAACTGTAAAATAAAAGAAATAATGCATATTTCCTTCTTTTCATTCATAAATAAAACAACTCAACACAAGCTCATCTTTGCATTAACTCTGTTATCCAAACCAGAACCAGAACCATGAGCTCCTTTAGCAGAAGAAGCTCAGGATGTTCCTTATTTTAACAGATCCATGTTCCTCACCAGCGTCAGGAGCTCTGAGGTTTAATCCCACAATCCACTGCAGATCAAACCCAACGTTTCCAAACACTATTGTACAAGTGACACTGCAGCAGATTATTAATTAAAATCATCTGCATAAATAAACTTTACAATATATAAAGCATAACAACTACGAGCCACATCAGCCCGTTTGAGATAATAATGTGTTTAATGCAGTTTTGCGCACTTGTGTTTACATTTTACAGAAAGAAACTTAAGCACATGACTCATTTGCATAAACAGCACTTCTCTTGCAGCTCAGCTCGTTTAGCTTCTTTCGGACTAAAGGACGCGACTCGGTGGAATATGAGGATGTGCTGCTGATGGTTTTGTCTGTAAATGGTGGAAAAGGTTTGTGGTGCTTGAAGCTTTTCACTGGCACCAACTTTCGGCGTTCACGGCGATAGTGAGGAGTGAAGGAGACACGAGCGAACAAAATCAGGGAAGCGGGGGAGCGTGGAGGCGACGACAGAGAAGGCAAACAAGCGAAGCGGTGGAATCAAAATTTAATATAAGCATTATATCGATATATACGATATGTCAGAATTCATATCGAGTTTAAAAACTATCTTGATATATTTAAAATATCGAGATATCGCCCACCCCTAGTGAAAACTATTAAGCTCAAAATTGACCTTATTTGGCAGTTCCTGTACTCTGCCTTTGTATCATGAGCCATAAATAAGGAGTTGTGCAAAGGCAAAAGGCAGTAACAGTGTCAGCAGTGTCACGACTCCTTATTTTTGGCAGATGATACGATTGCACATTGAGTCAAAGGTCCATTTTGAGCTCAGTATTTTCCGCATTCAAATATTTCTCTATTATAGCAACTCATTGTCAAATTTTGGGAGCCCTACGCTTTATACTTTTGTCTGGATAAAACAGAAACTTTGAAGTAATTTTTCTCAGTTTCATAATCTAATACAGGGGTCTCCAACCTTTTTCCTCCGGGGAAAAAGAGACCTTTACAAAACAAAAATGCCAGAGAGCGACTAGTTTTAGCATTCACGAGAAATTTTACTTCTTGGGTTCTTTTTAAAGACAATACAGTAAAGTGTATTTACCTTGTTGACGTGTTTCGGCTGCCGCTGCAAGCCCATATTCCAGTCAACAAGGTAAATACACTTTACTGTATTGTCTTTAAAAAGAACCCAAGAAGTTAAAGTATATAAAAAGACAAAATGAACATCTTTGGCTTCACAAGAAATTTAGTAAATATAACAGAGCCACAGCAAACCTCAGATGAAGTACAGTTGGATTAGTGTGACCAGATGTCCGTATTTACCCGGGACAGTCCCAGTTTTGAGCCCTGTGTCCCTTGTCCCTGCAGATTTATCCAAAACAAGTGATTTTTCCCAGTTTTATACAAGAATTGTCCCTGGTGTTTCTGTTTTTGACCATTCTGATCCCTGTCAACAGTAAAGAGAGGCATAACTTGTCATTTGTTTAGGTAATGACACATGGTAAAAGTCAATGAATTAAACAAATGTTACTTATCCAGCAAAATATTATTCAGAAATCCTTTGGCGAGCTATTTGGAAGGGGGTGTAGAGCTACAGGTTGGAGACACCTGCTCTAATACTTACACTTACTATAATTGCACACTATATACCGTATTTTTCGTACTATAAGTCGTGCTTTTTTCATTGTTTGGGTGTTTCCTGTGACTTATACGCTGCTGCGACTTATATATATAAAATTTTCAGACTGACAGCGGCGAGAGGCTCTAGTCTTGTGTGTCAGTATCTAGTATTACTATAGTACTATTACTCCTGTATCACTGTCACTTCGCTCTACTGCGCATGTCTCCTGTAGAAAAAGCAGCTGTGTTCGCTGCAAATAGTGAAATATTCAGCCGAAAACGGTAATCGAGCTGCAGAAAGAAAGTTTGGAGTGAGCGAGAAACTAGTGAGGGACTGATGGAAAGCTGGGATGGAGAACACAGCTTAAGGCAACTGGGTGCACCATGAAACTTTCCTGGAAGTCACTGGATGGATGGACAAAGCCTGGACTTCAGTGACACCGAAACCATCCTGTCGGGATTCAGAAAGGCCCGAATAATTCTAACTGGAACTGATGCTGAGTCTGACGACAGCGACACAGAAGAGGAAGCGGCGCTCTGTTTACCTCATGGATCTACAATTTATCTCCGGAGGTTGCACAGAAGTGACACCGAGGATGAAGAACTGAATGGATTTAGTGATTTGGAGTGAGATGGAGAGTTTGTTAGACTTGTTGATCGTGAGTTTGGTAAACTTATGTTATGTTGTTTATGCTTTAGTTATCTGAAGAACTGTTCATATGTGACGTTAACAGTCTGTTGTTCTATGTTCTGTTGTTATTACTAGAACTTGCCTTTCAAGATGAAATGTCGGTTCTTGGTCTCTGATTTCATAAAATACATTTCCCCAGAAAGTGCGACTTCTATTTGTTTTTTTCTTCTTCATTGCGCATTTTTTGACTGGTGCGACTTATACTCCGGAGTGACTTATAGTCTGGAAAATACGGTACTAACACAGGTACACACTGTAATATTTTCTTTTGGTACCAGGAGGCGATCATGGACGGGACAGAGGTGGCGGTTTCTCCTCGGGCCCTGCACAGTGAGCTGATGTGCCCCATCTGTCTGGACATGCTGAAGGACACCATGACCACCAAAGAGTGTCTGCACCGCTTCTGCTCCGACTGCATCGTCACAGCTCTGCGATCGGGGTTTGACACGCTCACATTCTCAACAGAAAAAAAAACTAAACATGTGCAGTACAGAATCTTTATCTGTTTCTTTCTGTTTAGCAACAAAGAATGCCCCACCTGCCGGAAGAAGCTGGTGTCCCGGCGCTCTCTTCGCAAGGACTCCAACTTCGACGCTCTGATCTCCAAAATTTACCCGAGCCGTGACGAGTACGAGGCCCACCAGCGGCGCGTGATCGAGAGACTGAACCGCCTCCACAACCAGGAGGCTCTGAGCTCCAGCATCGAGGAGGGTCTGAGGCAGCAGGCGCGGTACCGGGCCGAGAGGTGAAGAGACATCAACACACGACACACACAAAACAGAGGATAAAGTGTCACACATAATAATCAAGTATCAAGTAATCAAGTATCTGAAATAAAATAACTTTTCCAAAATAACTCCAAAACTTCCCAAATATTTTCAGATTTTTGCTGTGAAGGTTTATCCAACACATTCAGTTGCACAGAGTTTGACAGAATAATTTTCATTATAAATTAGAGGTAATGACAATGGAAGTTTGGGATGTAACTATATCCAAATCTCACGATACGATATTTTCACGATATGCATCTCACTGTGTGATATTTATTATGATATTTAGGGAGGCAAACAAAACTGTGAATATGCTACTTACTTCAGGACTGAGACCGGGACTGAGACTGGGACTGAGACTGGGACTGAGACCGGGACTGAGACCGGGACTGAGACCGGGACTGAGACTGGGACCAGACCGGGACTGAGATCAGGAACAGGATCAGAACTGAGACTGGGACTGAGACCGGGACAGAGACCGGGACTGAGACTGGGACCAGACCGGGACTGAGATCAGGAACAGAACTGAGACTGGGACTGAGACCGGGACCAGACCATGATTGAGACCGGGATTGAGACTGGGAACAGGATCAGAAATGAGACCGGGACTGACACCGGGACCAGACTGGGACCAGACCATGACTGAACCCGGGACCAAGACCGGGACCGAGACCGGGACCGAGACCGAGACCGGGACCGAGACCGGGACTGAGACCGGGAACAGGATCAGAACTGAAACCAGGACTTAGACCGGGACTTAGACCAGGACCAGATCGAGACTGAGACCAGGACCCAGACCGGGACCAGACCATGACTGAGACTGGGACTGAGACCGGCACTGGGAAAACTGAGAAAACAAAGTTATTGTTTTTATACATTTTGGTTTTGGAGACAAATAATGAAGAAAATAGTTTTTTTTTTTTCGTTTTCTTATTTTTGGTTTTATATTGAAAAATGAATGAACGAATGACACACGTATTGTCCTGCATCCCTAATCGAGGAATGAATGATTCCTAACTACCTCCACACAAAGATCTGAGTTGAGACCTTTGGTGTGGAAATCCATCAACTCCACTAAAGCACAAAAATACAAATAAGACAAACATGAAATTAAGACATCTCATTTTTAATCCACCATCTGCGTTCTCTAAGGCTGCGTTCAGACTGCAGCCTGAAGTGACCCAAATCCGATTTTTTGGCCCCTATGTGACCTGTATCTGATCTTTTAAAGACAGTCTGAACGACACAGATCTGATTTTTTTCAAATGGGACCCAGAACACTTGGATATGTGCTCCTGAAACCAATACATATCTGATCTTTTGACTTCAGTGTGAATGGTCAGGTCACATTCATCCACCTACACGTTATCAACAAGACACAAACGTCACTATTCTGCGCTGAAGTAGGCGAAAATTGTTAATGAACTCCGTGTCACTGAAGCGAAGCACATCACCACTCACCACAAAACACCACGACCAAAAACCTCGTCCTTCTCCTTCTCAATCTCCTCCTTAAAACAAGTAAGTTGTTCATGTTCTGGCTCCGGTACGAGAGGAACTTTAAAATCTCCAGGTGTTCAATACTCACTTCCATGTTTGGACAACTTCCGTAAACACAGAGCACGCTCGCTGCGGTTGACGTCATCGTGTCTCCAGTGTGCATGCGGGACACTTTCGGGCCGTTTTACGTTCACACAGCTGATTACATACAAGTCGCATTTAATTGGAAATGTGAACGACCTCGCAAAAACATCGGATTTCACAAAAAAATCGTAATTGAGCGTTAAGCCCTGCAGTCTGAACGTAGCCTAACTCTGAACCATTTTCTTCCAGAAACCACCGTGTGAAGAAGCCGACCCAGGAGAGCGACAACACCACGTTCAGCGGCGGCGAGGACAACGGCGACTCCCGCTCTCACCTGTCCCACGACTCCGCCCCCTCCCATGCCCCGCCCGTCGCAGGGCACACTTGGTCGGAGGCGGGGCCGAGCCGTAAGCGGGCGCGGCCGTCGGAGGAGGGCTCGGGGCACGAGGCGGACAGCGGCAGAACCACGCCCCCGCCGCGGCGCCACAAGGACGGGCCCGTCTCCGAGATCGAGCTGGTGTTCAGGCCCCACCCACAACTGGTGCAGCCAAATGACTACAGCCAAACCAGGTCACACGCTCCCCTCACCTCACTTACTCTGTCTTATGTAGGCGTGGTACAATATCAAAACTATCATGGTTAAAACACTGTACTTTTCGGTCTCTGAAGTATAAGTCACACCAGCCAAAAATTACGTAAAGAAGAAAAAACATAATGTAGGTTGCACTTTTTGGGGGAAATTTATTTTATAAAATGAGAGACCAGGAACCAACATTTCCTGTATAAAATGAAGTTGTAGTAAAAACAATAGAAGAGAGAACAACAGACTGTTAACGTCACATATGAACAGTTCTTCAGATAAACTAGAACATAAACAACAGAACAGAACAAGTCTAACAAACTCTCCATCTCACTCCAAATCACTAAATCCATTCAATTCTTCTTCCTCGGTGTCACTTCTGAGCAGTGTTGCCATAGTTACCGTGAAATAGTAATCTGACTACTGAGTAATGATTACTTCTTTAAAAAGTAACTTAGTTAAGTTACTGACAGTGTTGAGAAGGTGACTTTTAAAACGTATTCCCCTACAGATTACAGATTACATACCCCAGAATGTAGTTTGTAACAGAATCCATTAAAATACTTCAAGTGAGTAACGTAATCTGAATACTTTGGATTACTTGATTTGCTGTAGAGAAGCAAAAACTAGGAAATCTTCACATAAGATGTTTTGTCTGTTAAAAGAAAATAAAAAAGACCAGACTTTACTTAAACAAATTAAAAATATTATTGATAGAAAAGGAGGAGACACGGCCCATGCAGCATGATTTAGTCCATTTAAATCCTGGTTTAGTCCTGGTTTAGTCCTAGTTTAGTCCCAGTTTAGACCAGGTTTTAGTCCTGGTTTAGTCCTAGTTTAGTCGTGGTTTAGTCCTGGTTTAGACCTGGTATTAGACCTGGTTTTAGTCCTGGTTATAGTCCTGGTTTAGTCGTGGTTTAGTCCTGGTTTAGACCTGGTTTTAGTCCTGGATTAGTCCTGGTTTTAGACCTGGTTTTAGACCTGGTTTAGACCTGGTTTAGACCTGGTTTTAGTCCTGGTTTAGACCTGGTTTTAGACCTGGTTTTAGACCTGGTTTAGACCTGGTTTAGACCTGTTTTTTGTCCTGGTTTAGACCTGGTTTTAGACCTGGTTTAGACCTGGTTTAGACCTGTTTTTTGTCCTGGTTTAGACCTGGTTTTAGACCTGGTTTAGACCTGGTTTAGACCTGGTTTTTGTCCTGGTTTAGACCTGGTTTTAGACCTGGTTTAGACCTGGTTTAGACCTGGTTTTTGTCCTGGTTTAGACCTGGTTTTAGACCTGGTTTAGACCTGGTTTAGTGTCCGGCAATGAGTGGAATTACAGAGAAAAAAAAAGAAAAAGAAAAAGGGATTTAGCCCGAAATGTGAAAACAGGAAAATCTCTCTGTGTAATCCTTTTATTTCAACAAAGTAACTGTAATCCAATTACCACTCACTGAAACAGTAACTGTAACTGAATACAGTTACTCATCATTTGTACTCTGATTACTCCAGTACATGTAATCTGTTACTCCCCAACACTGGTTACTGACTGCTTGCTTTTAAAAGTAACTAAGTTAGATTACAAGTTACTTTACGTTACTGTTTTCTTTGCACCGGGCGGGACCTGCTCTGTTAACGTGGTTGTGTCGTGCTGTGTCTCTAGATGTTTCCTTAAGTTTCGATGTTGTATTCTTGAAGGCAGACAACACTTTGTCGCCAGCACAGAGTGAACAACGAACCTTTATGTTGCCATCCTTAGCTGAAATCTGACTCGTGGCGGAGCGGAGACGACGTAACATCACAGAAAACGTGTCACCGGAGACGATTTATACGATCTTTGGGGTCACATAATTCACGTCGCCAAAAAATAAAAATAAATAAATAACCTACTTCGCCCTGAAATGCAAAAATAGTAACGCACGGTGTGTTAGTTAAGTAACTTAAATCTTGGTGTCACTGAAGTCCAAGCTTTGTCGATTCATCCAGTGACTTCAGGAAAGTTTCATTGTGCATCCACCTGGTTATCGTGAAGCTGTGTTCTCCATCCCAGCTTTCAGTCAGTCCCTCACAAGTTTCTCGTTCACTCCAAACTTTCTTTCTGCTGCTCGATTATTGTTTTCGGCTGAATATTTCACGACTTGCAGCAGGACACAGGCTCTTTCTGCAGGAGACATGCGCGGTAGAGCCAAATGACAGTGGTACAGGAGGAACAGGAGCAGCAGATACTGACACACAAGACTAGAGCCTCTCCACATTTCACTGAAACATTAAAATATATATGTCACACCAGAGAATAAGTCACAGGAAACACCCAAACCATGAAAAAAGGTGTGACTTATAGCCCGAAAAAGTTGCTGACAGTTTAAAAATGTTATGCGTGTGATTAATTACACTTTTAATATTATGAATAAGTTCCATATTTAAACAGCTGTTATAGAGTTGTACTTTGTTATAAGTGAAAACAACAATGATATAAGAGAGATAAGAGAACATCAAGGACAAGTAGCTTTTTTTGGCACATTCTGGTGATAAAATGGTGATAATTTTTGTTGGTGATCAGCACAGTTATATAAAGTTCCTCACGATTAGATTTAGACTTTATTGATCCACAAGGGAAAATACTTGGACACAGTAGCTCACACATCACATTATATTACAATAACAAAGAGTAAAAAGTATAAAAAAGATAATAAAACTTCTAAATAAGTAGCAATAAATAGAAAATAACGAGACCGGTGTCAAATAAGACATAAGGGTCAAGCAGAAGTAAACAGCAAGGCCAAAAATTCAAGTTAATGCATCTGATATAAAAATTTATTGAACAGATACATATGTGCTCTAGTTTATGAAACTGTTTACCTTTTTTCTGTACCATTTTTGGTTCTAAAGTTACATATGTTTTAAACAGACCATCTATGAAACAAATCTGCAAATCTTGTAAATAAATTGATGTATTTCATCATATCTTGTTGTAGCGGTAAAAACTTGCCCTGTGCAAGGTCCGCTATGGCTGCAGCGTGTGTGGTGTCTCAGACGTGTGTCTTCCATAAAAACAGAGTCCAAATACTGTGTTCCTCAACATTTATTAGCATACCTTATAGCCATCCAAAAATACACAGATTCGGCACTCGATAGATCACGACGATGATGACGACGGTCAAAAGACTGTATACCTTCACGGTGCAACACCTGTGTGCACATTTTTCTCCCCTTTTATAGGGCAGGTACTTGCATAATTACAAATAGCGCCACACAGTGGCAGGAGGTAGACAGGTGTAAAATGGCTCCAACACTTGTGTTATTCGATCTTTGAAATGTTGATGAAGGTACATGATTTTTCAAAAAAAAAAAAAAGTATTTAAAATGATAAAAATTAGTTTGGAAGGACTAACATATTTTATAGAAATAGTTTCCTTTCATTTTGAAGTAATATTAAAGTATTAAAGAAAAAAGTTGACAAATGATGTAAAATCCTGCACCTTCTACTTGTTTGCACAATTTTCCCTCCATTACTTTTCCCTCCATTACCATGCCTTTCTTAATAAAAAATCTCATTACTCAAAAAGTAAGAGGTTTTTCAACCTAATCTTGTACCATATGGTAGAAAACTATATGAAGCAAATATTCAAACCAGTTTGTTAAGGATATGTAAGTGAGAACCAAGAGTTATCACTGTTTGGATTTATTGACCAAAAAGTGCTGCATATTTCATTCCCTCCGTTACCGACATGAATTTTTACATTTTTTGTCAACAACTTGAAAGAATATCACAGGTTTAACTTGACCCTGTTGGAGTGTAACTCTTTCCTACATTCTGATACTTTACTTATTTCAATAGTCCCTCTAGTTTCTGAATAAGAGACATTTGAATGTAAAATATCTGCCCCTGTTTCCCTCCGTTACCACTTGACCAGACCCATAATTATATAAATGTAAATGTACAAGTAAAGTAAAAACAGAAATATAGTAATATAAATAGAGTATATCACAGTTTTGATACAAGAGGTCATAAGGAAAACAGTGCAGAGATGATCTGATGATTGACAGAAACATGGCTGTATGGTATGAATGATTATTATCTCTCGTTTTTATCACGAGAAAGGATATTATTGTTTATTGTCTCATCTCTAGTCTTATGGCAACTTTGCTTCTCATTTACTTTTAAACAACTTATTTTATGAGTAGAAGACAAGCCGTAAATGTGGAAATAGAGGAGTGCTTTAAGCAACAGCAAAGTACAAGAAAAGCAGCAGCAGTACAATGTTGTGAAAAGAACCATCAAAACTTCAGAAATTGGAAACAGAAGCTTCTGTGACCCTGCTGCCGTTTTCTTAGGTGCCCAGGTTGTGAATTCCTACTGTGTCCAGTAAAGTTCCCTTGTGGATCAATAAAGTCGGTCTAAGTCTAAAGATTATTGACACCATGAGCAAACAACAGTGAACCGTGAAACCTGTTTTATAAATTTTTATGGCCTGTAAAAATCCAGTCAGATCACTAGAGATGGGACAAGATGTCATACCACAAGATTTCACGAGACAAAAATGCCACAAGACGGTGTGCACATGAGAAAAATAATCTTTCCCCCATTAGTATTGGACAAAAAAAAAAGTTAAGTGCTGGTGGGTGCATCTTTTTAGAACCCGTAGTTCTGAAAACCACTGCTAGAACTAGAATGACAACAAAAATATTTAAAAATGAAGTGAATATAAAAGTCTGAAGACGGCTAAATCGGACTATTTACATCTTAGAAATGATGTCAAAATCTTTTTTTTTTTTTTTTTATTTATAATTTGTCAAGTTTGAAGGATTAGATACCCAGCACATCCACAACAAGACAGACTTAACTAAATATAAAACTAACATGCAGACAAAAAAAAATATAATAATAATAATAATAATAATAATAATAATAATAATAAATAAATTAAATACATTAAAAAAAAAAAAAAAAAGAGGGAGTGGTGGGGGTTAGGGAGAGTGTGTGTAGTACAGAGTTTCTCAGTGCAGTGTTTGCATGTGTGTATTTACATTTTTCAAATTTACATTTACATATTTTCTATTCCCTTCATATCTTTCGTTCGTTTGTTTTTGGCAACTCCAGAATGCGTTACATTATACAAGCATTTACATACACATATATTTTAACATTGTCCAACAGTGTGATGTTCTTATTTTACTCTACTTTGTCCAAATGGGGTTTTGTCACAGTCCATGGGCCAACAGTGTGTTTGTTTTTTGTGTCCAACAACTGAGCAGCTGCTCCATAGAAATTAAATCCAAAAAGTCTTTGTACCAATTGTCTATGTCGAAGCACATATGTTTACGTTCCTTCCAGTTCATCATAATAATACGTTTAGCTGATAAAAAACCCAGTGATAATATGTGGTCAAATTTTTGGGATGACAAATCTTGAGTTCTTACTCCAAATAGGCACAGCAATGGACATGGAGAGATCTGCACATCAAACATACAAAACAGACGATCCATTACAATGCTCCAATATTGTTTCACTTCAGGGCAATGCCACAGCAGGTGTATGAGTGTGCCCTCTGCCCCACAACCGTGCCAACAAAATCATGTCTTGTCGTGTCATGTCTCGTTCTCATGGACCCAATCTCGTGTCTCGTCTTGTCTTGTGGAAACTGAGTCACCGACCCAAGAATTGGATCAGATTGGTGTAAAATAATCTAGAATAATCTTTCATTTTTTGTCTTTGTCACATCAGTTTTGCTGAATTGATTTTACACGGCTCTGGTCTTTCAAAGTTGTAGAACGTGCTTATAAAGTTGTGGTCTATTTGTGGCTAGAATGTACAAATATTACACTGGCTTTGACTTATTTCCACTATTATTCTTTCAGTTCTTATTAGTGATGAATCTCAACGTCTAAATCTAACTCTGTTTCGTTTGATGGCGCAGATATGTGAAGACGACGGCCAATGCCACCGTGGACCATCTCTCAAAATACCTGGCCCTGCGCATCGCTCTGGAGGAGGGACCCTCTGCAGGAGAGGCAGAGGAGGCCCCGGGAGCAGGCGCAGAGAGGGGCCCCCCAGCAGCAGCAGCACAGGGCTCCAGTCTGCAAAGCGTCAGCGAGAAACAGTACACCATCTACATCATGACCAAAGGACAGTTCTCTGTGAGTCAACTCGGCTTTTATAATCACAAGGCAGAACAATGCATGGCTTTAAAGGTCCTATAGTGCACAAAACTGACTCTTGTGAGCTTTAAGCCATGGTATAATGTTGTTACCTCCTCCAAAACAGACCTGGAGTTATGTTTTATGTTTGAACAATCCTGTGTTATTAGGCTGTCCATATTTCCAAAGCTCAAAATGCTCTGTACCACCTTGTGATGTTCCAGCTTGTGAAGTTAACAGTTCCTTTTACCTTTAGTTCATTACAGATTGGTAATTCCAGCCCTGAAATCATCCAAATGATTCTAGTGAAGGTGTATGGAGTTTAAAAACACAATGGAGCACTTTCTTTATGACCACTGGACATCACAAATTGGAAAAGAGTGTTTTCAGTTTAAGAGAAGAACTCCCCACCCACTTTTGCCTCTAAACGCTCCTAAACTGCTCTTTCTTCTGGCAGCACTTCTTGTTAAACGTGAATTTATGTCAATAGAGAATTTGAGAAAAGTTTTCTCTATAAAATCTGACATAAAGTCGGTTAATTTGTGTAAAATGTTCACTTTTCATGTGCACCAACATTCACAACACTCTGCACTGATTCTCTGAGGCTTTAAAACAGCTTTATCGTCCATATTAAACTCATCTGTATTAAAGTTATGTGCTGTTAGGATTGGCCCCATACAAAATAATTCAACCTGAATGATGATGATGATGGTGCCCACGGCAACTTCTGGATTAAGACAAATATACAGAGTTTGTGTGTTAAACATGTGTGAATGAGACAAAAAACAACTCCAGGTCTGTTTGTGCTGTGGAAAGTACATTAGAACATAGGTCTGAAAATGTATTATGTGTATTATAAGTGTATTTTTAGGCCCTTTAAAGGTAAATAGTTCTGTGACCAGACTCACATCTTTGTAAAGTATTAGAAACTTGTGTATTCAGAATCCCAGACAATATATAACATACTAAAATCACCAAAATATTCACTTATTTTGGGTCTGGTTAAACATCTCACTGATGCTTCTCAGAGAAAGTTCTTTTATAGCATTTGTTTCAGTGTTTCACTACGGGACATGCCAGACAAGATGATCACGACATGATGCCAGCAAAGGCCCCCGAGGGAGCCAAAGATCAGGGCGTCTCCACGGTAAACCACACTGAGCATAACCACCAGCAGACCGTCTTTTTTGTGCTTTTTCAGACGCTGAACGGCTCCCTGACTCTCGAGTTGGTCAACGATAAATACTGGAAGGTCAGGAAGCCTCTGGAACTTTACTACGCTCCAACCAAAGAGCAGCCGCCGCCTCCTCACGCTCCGACCAAAGAGCAGCCTCCGCCTCCACCGCCTCCGCCCAAATCCCCGGGGCTGCCGCGGGACGCCCCCTAGCCGCTCCCGAAGGAAACGGCAGGCGCTGTACGTGCATTCACAACAAAATGTTTGTCTGACTACAACGGAAGGATGTGTCACGATGTGTTTGGGACTGTTCTGACTCGATGGACTGAAACTGTGGGACTGAACTGTGATTTCCAAAAGTTGATTTGTTTGAGTTGAATCTTCTTTGTTTACCTTCAGCCCTTTAAAGGAACTGGATGTAAGACTTTGATTTAAAATTTCATAAACTCGACCTTGTTCCCCAATACACGATAAACAAATCAAATGTAGCTTTTACTGACAATAATAATGCTGATTTATTCTTACAACAAAAAAGATTTAACATGATGTCCCATTTATTTATGTTATAATGTTTTGGTTCAATCAGAAAGCAGAATGAGCCTCACGTGAGTCTGAAATCCAGTTGGTTAAAACCTAAAAGGACTCTTACAGAAGCCGCTCATAACAAACAGAAACGCCGCAACAAATACAAACACGATGGCACAAATGCAAAAGCCACAACAAACCAAAAAGCCACAACGGAAGTGACCGCGGGACTGTATTTTCCGACGGACCAAGCGACGGTCAGACAGTGACATCGATCCTGGCTACAAAACAGTAAATTACTTCTAACACAAAAGTTGAAGAAGGACAAGAATGTGAAAAGGAAAAGGAAAAGAAACAGAGAAGTGAACGAAGTTGGAAACGTAAGTAAAAGTAATTTATTAGAAAAAACTAAAATGTGGCTGTTCGCTGCAGGTGTTCCAATCAGTGGGAGCAAGTAAAGGGTGCTCTTGGAAAAAGGATCAAAACTTTAAAACGCAACAAATTCCAGGCGCTCCAAAGAAGTAAAAATCGCACAAGGAAAAATATAGTTAAAAGGCCTTTATTTAAATGGCCAAAGCCAACACGTTTCAACCAAACTGGATCTTCATCGGGGCTTAGTGGGATGAAGATGTGCCTGGGGTCCCAGTGATGTTCATTTTGTCTTCTTATATACTTTAACTTCTTAGGTTCTTTTTAAAAACAATGCAGTAAAGTGTATTTGCCTTGTTGACATGTTAACGAGGTTGTTAACAAGTTCAAACGCTGGATCAGGGAGGCCATTGAAATCAGGAAACGAGGCACGGGCAGCATTAACCGTGATGACGGCGCGTTCCTCCTTTCACACACCTGGGACGCCCTCCTCCAGAGAACACCGGGCGACAGGAGGCGTGGTCAGTCTGAGCGACCATCCTGCAGGTCCATCAGGTCTGACCACGCCCACAGGAAGTAACAACAGCTGATATACGACACGTCAACACCAACATCAGGGACAGTTCTGAAGATGCAGCAGAAGCAGCCGAAACATGTCAACAAGGTAAACACACTTTACTGCTTTGTCTTTAAAAAGAACCCAAGAAGTTAAAGTGCCTGGAGTCCGTTGTGTTTTAAAGTTTTGATCCTTTTTCCAAGAGCGCCCTTTACCTGCTCCCACCGATTGGAACACCTGCAGCAAACAGCCACATTTTAGTTTTTTTAATAAATTACTTTTACTTACGTTTCCAACTTCGCTCACTTCTCCGTTCCTTTTACTTTTACTTTTCACATTCTTGATCATTTAACGTTCCGCTTGGTCCGTCAGAAAATAGAGTCCCACGGTCACTTCCATTGTGGCTTTTTTTGGTTTGTTGTGGCTTTTTGTTGTGTCGTCGCGGCGTTTGCGTTTGTTTGTTATGAGCCCTCCAAGCTTCCCTACTCTCTGGACGCTGGAGGTTCTGAGTTTTCACATGAGCGTGACAAAAACGAGTGTCCCCTATCTGCAGGTTAAGGCTCTGGCGAAAGGTTTAGTCGTGATTTTACATTTTTCCGAACGGTAATCTCGCAGGTTACATACAGTTCCTTTTCAAAATCTGTGTACATTTCTATTAGTGACCGCTGCTGCTTTCTGAACACTGCCGCTGACATCTTCGAAATTTACGATGTGACGCCTCTTCTCAAAGGACAAGCAAACTTCTGAGCTTCAGGGAAATAATGATGCAAAAAAACAGATGTAAATAGATTGTATGTATTTTATATGTTTTCTGTCTAACTCTGCATTTGCGAAGCTTTAAGAGCGCGACGGAAAGGGCGACGTTCTCAGCTGAAGAATCGATGAACCACACGACTGTTGGCTTCTGTCCGATATTTTCTCAACGTTTTGTTTTGCTTCTGTAAACTGTAACTTCATCGTTATCCAGTGGACAGCACAATACAGGATACCATCAGTAATCCTGTACAGCTACTTAAAGAGGGGGTATTACGTGAATTATTATTATTTTTTAAACTTTCTACCGTGATATAATGTTTCCTCGTCAAAAACCTACCTGAAGTGATTTTAGAGTCATGACGTCAAACTCAGTGGATGTAGACGAAGCCGAAGACAATTCTGTGTTGGCAACGATTCCCAAGATCGAGGATTTAAAGCGGGAACAAAGAGAATGTTTGGTGAATTTTATCAAGAGTAAAGACATTATTGTCCTTCTTCCTACGGGATTTGGCGCATTACATACGTCACGACTAAACAACAGCGATTGGTTAAAAAAAAAAGTACCCGCCTAAAGTCGAGCGAACGAATCCTAATGCTGCGAGGTCAGACGGTTTCCACAAAGTGAAACCGGCTGATGAATCTGGCTGGACCTCTCCTGGGTCCTATTCAAATCCTCCTTACGGTTAACTCTTAAGATTCTGTACGAGGCTCCGCCCACACGCCTACGTCACTCATGCTCCAACGCGACAATTTTCCATAAATATACGAAAACATGACACAAAACGTTACGCTACAACTTCACAAACCCGATGCGATGTGCGGTAGTTTCATTAGCGAGTCGTGGTAGCGCTCTGAAGGGGGAGCGACTTGGATGGCATGGAAAAACGTGAATATAGTAGGGATGAATGATTTTAAGAAAACATTTAATTGCGATTTTTCTGGCAGATATTGCGATTTCGATTTCAATCATGTATTTTTTTCAAATTAAGTTTCAGTGCACATGAACTTTTGCAAACGTCACGGAAACTTACATCATACCAGAGTCCTGCACCGATGATTTGACGCTGGACCGTAAAGCCCAATTTCCGCAGACAATAAGGGCTGTGATTGGTCTTATCTACCACCCACTCTACAGAAATTTCCTGTACTCCGCTTTCCTTTCTGAGTAATAGTGTGTTTAATGCAGCTTTGCGCACATTTGTTTACATTTTACAGAAACGAAACTTAAAACCGCATGGCTCATTTGCGTAAACTATAAGCGCTGGAAAAATCAGCTCGCTCCTTGTGCGCTGATGCGGTTCAACTTCTGTTAGACTGAAGGACATGATTCGGTGAAATATTTGTGTTCTTTCTGTGACACAGGATGTTCTGCTGATGCCGAGTCTGTTCTGTTCTTCTGTTGCGTTGGAGATGGTTCGTGTTAAACTTTACACAAACCAAAAGAAACCGAAAACGCACACCAAAATTCTTGTAGAGCTGTAAATGCAAGGAGCAGCAAGACGAAAGTGAAAAAATGCATAGCCACACTCGGATGTCCAAAAGCTTTTTTTATTTTTAAAATAACGTTTCGGCAAAAAGAAAAGCGTTCAGCAGATATTTTTCTTGCTTTGGACCCCAGCACACAAAATGGTTGCCAGCCCAGGTGCTCATATCCCCCTCCAACGAATGGGAGGTCCCAAAGTGATCTCCCACATAATTTATTATTTACACACATAATGTACTTTTTCACACCAAGTTTAAATCCCAGCCTCTTAACTTCACAGCCGACACAGATCCATAAATCAAACTTCACCCTTGAATTGGGCTTTAGAAGCACTGCAAAAAAAAAATAAAAAAAAAATGTGGCTTTGACAATCCCAAAATTAAGTTTTCTGTAAAAATTTGATTATTTTTTAAGCGGTTGCATTTTATTGTTGTTTTTGTGGTCATAAGAGTGAAAACTAGTGAGGTTTTGAGCAACAGTAGAGTGGAAAGGAATTAAACTTTACCCTTAAATTGGGCTTTAGGAGCACTGCAAAAAAAACAAAAAAACAAAAAAAAAATGCGGCTTTGACAGTCCCAGAATCGTATTTTCTGAGTTTGCGATTTGCGATAAATCGTTCAGAATATCATATTTTCAAAACGGTAACACAGTGATCTAAATATGTGATGTGTTTGCAGTGAATACCCCCTCTTTAAACTTCGCTCTTTAGTTCTGATTTCATTTAAAGAGTGTCGTTATGAACTGCACAGAGACTCTTCAGGAAAACAAAACGTCCGGTGTGTGTGGATCTTCATTTCCATTTCTCCGTCTACACTTTTGTTCAAGACTGAAATCTTAAAAGCCAGACGCTCATTTTCACGAGAAACACTTTAACTCATCATTAACATAGATTTCTTTCTTTCTGGCTTGTGCACTTCTTTCCCACTATTTATTTGCCTATAGAACATGCTTATTACCTTTAGCCGACTCTGTAAAGGTTAATTTATTCACGAGCATTAAACGTTTCACTCTTTTCCACTTGTATCTGTATTTGTCGAAGTGTTTGTTCAGATTAATGACATTTTAAACTAGATTTCGATGCATCTCTGGACAACAGGATGTCATTTTCAGCATTAATCTTAAAGGTGTTATTGCTTTTTTTTTTTAGAATGTTCCACAGTGTCTGTTTGATGACAACTCTGGCCTACAAAGATAAAAGAGCTTAACTTTCCAGAGTATGAAACTGAGAAAAATGACTGTGTTGTCCAGACATATGTATAAAAGGTAGGGCTCCCAAAATTTGCTATAATGAAGAAATATTTGTATGTGAAAAATATTGAGCTCAAAATTGACTTTGACCCTTATTTGTCAGTTTAATACCATAACTTAAAGGTTGTATAGAGGATTTTTTTTAAGGGAAGTGAAATATAATGAATTTTTCAAATGTTGACACGACCTTCCTCATCCACAGCCTCAGTAGAAACACCTCCTCCCGCCTCTTTACTCTAGAAATCACGCTTGTTTACAGCCAGTGCGTGTTCAGAATTACTGTTGAAGTGGCCTGTCTAGAAATATTTTAGCAACCGACGTGTCAGTTTTTAGACCCTTCGTCTGCTTCAGTCGCGCCATCGCTGGAAGGAATCTCCAAGAATCACCTCGGTTTGTCTTCGCTCCTTTTCCTCTTCTCTTCTCCTTTCAGCGACCTCAAAAACGGACTTTCTTTTGCGGCGAACTGGTCGTGGATTCTCGCCCGCCGTCGCGACAAACTTTATGCGAATTGCGAGAAAGCGACAGTTTGAAAAAAAACTCTAAGAACCGCTGCATAAACCACGTAATCCCAGCGCGCCGACGAGTCAGTTACACTAGAAACGTGGGGAGGTTGATTGACAACCTAACAACCAATAGAAAATGAGGGAGCCTCGTTTTCTATAGGCTGATGTTTATCTGGCCTCACTACGTCCTCAGTTGATAGATTTTCATTCTTTTTTTTTTGGTCATCATAATTACAAGGCTGCTGCGGCTCTGTAATGGTATTTTAAACTTTCAATGACAATTTGAAACAAAAAAATAACAATCCTCCATACAACCTTTAGATTTTTTTCATGTGATACTTTTACTTTTACTTACTATGAGTTTTTATTAGGGATGTAACAATAACTGAAATATTGTGACATCGTATCATCAAAGTTCTCACAATAATACCATGGACCATCACAATATATCGAATTACAAGTCTCTTTGCTTAAATGAAGAGTTATGATGCAGCAACAGCTAAAAAAGACAGAGGGAACTACATAGACCATGATCCTTTACTCCATTTCAGTTTAGACGACAAGAAGAAGTAACAGTTCTAACACTTTTAAGTTTTAAGTCTTTGGATTAAGTTTTGTCAAGGCATTTTAAGAGGAAAAAGTTGCATATTCACTGCTCTGTTTGCAGCCTCCACAAAATATCAAAATAAATATCGTACCGTGAGATGAATATCGTGAAAATATCGTACTGAGAGATTTGGATATTGTTGATTAATTGAATGTTACTGATTAATTGAAGTCCTGGTTCAGTCCTGGTTCAGTCCGTATGCGGTCTGGCATCTCAATCAATGTTTCTTCTGCTCAATAAATAATGCCTGTGAAGTGATGACGGATTTGACAGTAGTAATATCGCAATAAATATCATACCGTGTGCTGTATAATGTGAAAATATCATACCGACAGATTTGGATATTGTTACATCCCTAATCGTGAACTTCCCCACGATATTGCAATAAATACCGTACCGTGAGGTTCATACTGTGATGATATCATATCGTGAAACGTGGACATCGTTACACCCCTGGTTTTTATTTCTTTTTTTGCCTCGGTATCTACACTTTTACTTAAGTCACACGCACAATCAGAGACATCAACCTGGTCCCCATGAGGCGTCGGTGGGTCAGTTCATCACCACAGAAGCAGTTTCTGAGGAGTCCAGCCCATATTACATGATCATTATATCCACAATGTAATGTGTGTATGTGTACAGGCCCATGAACATTAGTGTGATATTGGTCACACATGAGAATGTCTGTGTTTACTAGTGTGGAACCAACAGTGTTGGGAAGGTGACTTTTAAAATGTAATCCCCTACAGATTACAGATTACATATCCCAAAATGTAGTTTGTAACGGAATCCATTAAATTACTTAAGGTGAGTAATGTAATCTGAATACTTTGGATTACTTGATTTGCTGTAGAGAAGCAAAGACGAGGAAATCGTAACATAAGATGTTTTGTCTGATAAAACAAAATAAAAAAGCCCAGACTTTACTTAAACAAATGAAAAATATTATTGATAGAAGAAGAGACACGTCCACACAGCAGGATTTAGTTCTGTTAAATCCTGTTGAGATATAGTTTAGACCTGGTTTGGACCTGGTTTGAACCTGGGTTTAGACCTGGTTTGGACCTGGTTTGGACCTGGTGTTTGACCTGGTTTGGACCTGGTTTGGACCTGGTTTGGACCTGGGTTTAGACCTGGTTTGGACCTGGTTTGGACCTGGTTTGAACCTGGGTTTAGACCTGGTTTGGACCTGGTTTGGACCTGGGTTTAGACCTGGTTTGGACCTGGTTTGGACCTGGTTTGAACCTGGGTTTAGACCTGGTTTGGACCTGGTTTGAACCTGGGTTTAGACCTGGTTTGGACCTGGTTTGGACCTGGGTTTAGACCTGGTTTGGACCTGGTTTGGACCTGGGTTTAGACCTGGTTTAGTGTCCGACAATGCGTGGAATTACAGAGAAAAAAAAAAAAAAGGGATATAGCCCAAAATGTGAAAACAGGAAAATACCGCCGTGTAATCCATTTATTTCAACAAAGTAACTGTAATCCAATTACCACTCACTGAAACAGTAACTGTAACTGATTACAGTTACTCATAATTTGTACTCTGATTACATAACTCCAGTACATGTAATCTGTTACTCCCCAACACTGGTAACCAAAATGTAATTTTTCATGAGTTGTGTGTGTGTTAGTTGTGTGACTGTAGATCAATGTGTTGTGTATCACCAGAAGAAGAAGAAATGGAAATTATTTTGATTCCAATTAGAATTTTAACGGCAAACACTGAAAGAGAAAGGAACTGTTAGAATTAGTGATTATTTGACTATACAAATGCATAGAATTATAAATAGATCATCATTTTTCTGAGATTTTGAGACACTTCCGTTGCCGAGCTCGATTCTTTGCGGAGTTATGACCAAAAACACATATTTAGCCTTGGTGACCTTGACCTGCAAGTGACCTTGTCCAGTTTGAACCTGTAACATCCAGTGTGCCCCGGTTATGTGTGTGCCAACTTGTGTGACAATTGGGTGAATATTTTAGGCCGCAGATGGTTCAGAAATTGACAAAATTGCCTAAATCCTTTATAATGGCGTGACCTTTCAATTGACCCGTGTGACCTCAAATGAATCTCGGATCATCACCAAACTTTTTCTGCGGCATCGAGCACGGGGGCTTGACCCGCGTACCAAATTTGGTGACAATCGGTCCATAAATGGTGGAATTATTACGGGTGGACACACACACAGACACACAGAGTGAATACAAAACCTGGTCAATCCTTCGAGGACCAGGTAAAAATAACGTGAGTACTTCTTCCTCCACTGGTCTATTGAAGTATTTCTACTACAGTACATGGGTTTGGATCAGTGCCCATTGCATAAGTCTTGTTGGACTTACTGTACATGGGTGAGACTTGTACTTGTTGTTGTACTTTTGTTCATCGCACTCGGCACACGCCCCACAGGTATGTGACAGTTACTTTTCCATTATTTCTTAACTCCCTTTGTAAACCGGGTCATGTGGGATTCAGGTCATGAGGTTAGGAGTGCGCACTGTCCTATGTCCATCCAGGAATTGCTCGTTTTCATGGCGATGTCACAGTATTGCCAGGAATGTTCCACAGAGCGGCATTAAAGGGACGAATATTACTCTGTTTCCTGATCTCTGTTCTAATGTCGTTTCCTCGTCACAAACAGACGTGGAGTTGTGTTTTGTTTCATTCACATGTTTAACACACAAATATATGTATGTGCATATTTAGAGTTCTTCTTTCAAACAGAAAACACTCTGTTCCACCTTATGATGTCATGTGGTAATACAGGAAGTGCTCCACTGTGTTTCATAACTTCACTAGAATCATTTGGAGAATTTCAGCCCTGGAATTGACAATCTCTGCCGAATTTAAGGTAAAGGTGAACTGTGAACTTGAAACCAGGACTAAACCAGGTCTATAGGTCAGGATTAAACAGGACTAAACCAGGACTAAACCAGGTCTATAGCCTGAAGTAGGACTAGACATTCATGTTTAAACTCTATTCACCTTCATTAGAATCATGTTTGTGAATTGTCCATTTCTGCTGAACTAAAGGTAAAAGGAGCTGTTTTAGTCCTGGATTAGTCTTGTTTTAGTCCTGGTTTAGTCCTGACTTTGGGCCGGTCCCTGAGCTCCTCAGAGTGCAGATGGTTCATGTGGCACTAACATGTCACAGATGGACTTTGGTGCTCAGACATGGAGAGACTTGTACAAGCAGAGCTGCTTTACAGTCTCTGAGCCACAGGAGCCATGTGCAGAGACCTGAGACCAGCTTCCTGGTTCAAGTCAGGACCTGAGCTGCAGCGTTCTGGATGTTCTGCAGCGTCTCACAGCTCGTTTGGAGAGGACAGTGAGAGGCCGTTACACCTACTGGAGACAAACACATGGATAAGTTTCTCCAAGTCTGATTTAGACAGTAAACCTTTTAGATGGTAAAAGGCTGCAGATGTTATTGATTTGATGTGGCTGTTAAAGTTCAAGTCTGAGTCCATTATTACCCTGAGGTTTGAAGGTTTTACAGAGAGAGAGACTGAAGGTGATGCTGACACTGTCTCTTTATTTCTGTGACTTGTGTCTTGTCTGAGTTGGTGGTCCGCCGTCTCCTGCTGCAGTGAGACGTAGATCTGAGTGTCATCTGCATAATTGTGGTATAGGACCCATTATTGCTCTGTATTAACTGGCCTGTAGG